CCTTGTACTCTCCTCACTCTTAGTATCAACCCCTGAGTCTCTCCTGATTCTCACACGCTAGGACCCAGGCCGTAACCGCAACCGATGTTAAAAACAGGCGCATGATCGGTAGTAGAAGGATTTTGCTTGGAGACGTGCGCTGTTGGGTGTCAACAAGTGTCTCCAGCGCTTGCTTCCTAGGCCAGTCCTCCCTTTACTTATAACATTGCAAGCTAATGCTTGGATAAACTAACGGTACGAACATCTGCGGGCTTGGTTTGCCTAGATGGCTTGCGACGGGCAGCGTTGTCCCACGCGTCGTTTTATCCTGGATTAGCACTAACCCCAACCAGGGGCCTGTTTAGCGCGGATAGGTATCTGGGATTCGGTACCGCTACATGATTGCTGGAATCGACGGTGATGAACGTCCCTGCTTCAACTGGCATCGGAATGTCGTCCCCATAAGGAGAGAATTTCGCGGCGCACGGAGTATTAAGACGGAGGCGCCACCAAAAAACCCCGCAGCCCAGCTGATCAAATCAAACTCCCTCAGAAGAAAGGTCGAGACTATGCCTGGAGGAACTCCGAGATACACGAGGTTTCCGGAAGGGGCGTTGTAACGCTAACTACATCCGGCCGGACCGTGGCCCGTTTCATAGTAGGATGTTTTCTGCACCTGCCGCGCGCCGGTTTCCGAAAGAGGTGCAGCCCGTCCCACCTCTCCGCCCTTGACAGCATGCTGTGGTCTCCTTTTGCGGTGCGGTGCGGTTGATTGTCTTACTGCTTGTCCACTGCTGATTAGATGCCTACTAGAATCGGTCAATGACGGAAGATACGAGCACTGTTATCTTTCGGTACCACTGCAGACAGCCAAGCTGGCCAGTCTGTGGGCTGTCGGCTTAGCTGTCCCGCTTAGCGGAATCCTGGCACAAATCCTCACCTCCAGCCCTCATCTCACCACCGGATGCAATTTCGAGGATTCAGAGGCACAACTTAAACAACATTCCAATGCGAAGGAAACTTAAATGCAGTCTACCCCAAGTGGCTTGACGCGATATCGTCCTGCAGTATCTTATTCCACCCGATTGTAGGATTCGATCTCAGTACTCTCGCCGGAAAGACGTCTCAACCACGCCGGTATGGGGGTAAGACCCACGGGCGAAAGGTGCGCCGCGGCCTGTTCAAGATGTCACCGATTTCGGTCTGCTGACAAGGCCGTGTCTCAACCTCGCTGTCTCAAGTATGACTCTAAACACAAAGGATACAGTTCAGGGCCTCCGCGAAGCACTTATATCTCGACAGCACACGGCCAGCCAAAGGGCTCAACTAGTTTGTTTTGTATTGCGGTAATTACCCTGCGTGAGCGATGGTGAACGAGACTACAAGGTCTGTCAGCTGACAATTCTGATTCATCCATACTTTGGGGATTCGAACCTGATCCACAGCCAGCAGCGCTGCTGACCTTTACACCGCAGCCATCCATGAGCTGGCCCTTGATGGTGCATTTGCCATGCGACCAAGTCACGTACTGCGCAGCTCCACCGTGGCCTTGCTTGGGGTCAGTGGTCATATTGCGCGCAAGACAGGTCCTCGACATACCCTTGGGCTCAGAATGCTGAACAGCGGGGTTTCCCACAGTGGAAGAGTGGGCAGTGAGGAAGCAACCATGGATCCCTATAGTCATGTCAGAGACAGATCTGTAAAGATGTTTCGCGATGAAGGTAAGGTATCTCAGCACTTACCTACTAAAGTAGTAGCAAAGACTGCAAGTGAGAGCTTCATTTTGAAGGAACGTGCCTATAATATGAAATGAATCGGATAGGGTTATCGAAAGATGTTGGAAATGTAGAGTTCTGTGGGTTGGCGGGTTGTAAATCTTCATAAACTGTACATCTCTTTAGTACTGATTAGAGTATTTAGATTAGAGGCTGTCCTTATAGGAAGGGATTGGTGGATCTATTAGTTCCATCAAGCCAAGGGGGTGTTCAGCTCGACCCAAACACCGGGGATAGCCATGTGCCATTGAAAACTTCTCATCGGTATTCTTCACTTCATCCTCTGGGACCGCTTTAACAATTGTCTATCCTCCTAATCTGGAAAACGGACAAACGACAGCCGATTCTGCCCGCACATTTGGGACATAGTTGTCATTCCCTCTGGGAATTATGCGATAACTATATAGGCAACGTTGAATCACGGCAATAGGGTTGGCATCCAACTGGATAGCATCATCTACCGAATAGGAACCGTAGGCGACAATGATCGTTGTTGAGAACTCCAACAATGTCGAGTTCTTCTCCAGCACTAGCAAAGGCGCCATGTAAGGCTACAGCTACCAGATCTACAAGTCTAGAAGCCTTAACAGGTTAGGCCTTTACCTTTGGAGCTTTTATGTTGAATTGGTACTAATAAATCTACAGTTGGTACTTACTTCGCTTTATCAAGATATAGGACTTCTCTACCTAGGAGTTGGCCTTTGTGGATATGCCAGCATTCCATACCTACAAGAGCCGCGCTGACAACGTGAAGATTTAGCAGGGCCTTTACCGCTTTATCGTTTCCTTTTTGGATTGACCCAGTTCCCGGCGTGTGTATCGAGTTAGGACTCGGGCTCGTGTATTCCATAGTATTGGATATCAGAAACTTTGAACATACCGCTTCACCCGTCTCTGTCTCTTGACGCATGTTTTTCAGACCGCCCGCAAGTCTGTCACATCAGATACCGACACGGGTTTCGTACTAATCAGCCCTGGCCCTGACCATCGGGCAAGTTCTCGCCCATGGCGCCCGCTTGCCGCCTCAGGTACTTTGGCTAGGTGCATAGTGCAATGGATCTGAATAGCCCGAGTCCTTTTGAATGGTTTGATACAATTTGAAGCGAAGGCCTGGGAGTGCCCCAGGGTCGTCCGCCCGAGTCGGCTCGCTGACGGCCGATGGGGGTCCGTTGTCGCCGGCGGACCTCGGACCCCGTACCTCCGGGGCTCGCTCGGCAGATGCTATTCCGCCGCCCGTCACCGAGCTACAAGCCACTGCACGAAGCCATCGCAAGGGCCTCAGGCTCCCTGTCTGGCATCTAACGATTGGCGCTGCAGCATAGGTGAACGGCAGTATTGAATATGGTTGCCGTCGAATAACCCCGCCAATCCGTCAGCATCTGTGCGTTAGCGAAGTCGGTGCCAAGTCATCAGAACTTGAGCACCGAAAACAGGCAAGAGTAACGACGCACAGTCGGTGTACTGTCTCGGGCGAACAAGAGCCGAGCAGTGTTCCCTCCGCGACGTCTGTGTCGCATGCAGGTAATATCGGCCAGCCGCGGCCTAGCACAAAAACGGAAGATCTGAAGATTGTGGTCGCTCATCGGGCCATTCTCTCCCGCCTAGGGGCAGGCTCCAGACCAGTGAAATTGTAGGATCGTCGGCGAGCCCGGCCAGCACTCGGGGCATCTCGCGCAATAAGTCAGGCTTCATCGTCGCCAGGAAGCAGGGAAGCTGTTCTGTCATCGCATCGACATCGCCACAGAACTCGGAATTAGGTACCATCAATCTCACCCACACACCACAACACCATGAAGCTCTTACTCCTCGCTACTAGCCTTGCGTCCGCCCTTCTTGCGGTAGCGGCCACCCCCGTGAGTCGGCAATCAAAGCCTGCTGCCTTCTTCCTCGCGGGTGATTCCACGACGGCCGTCAACGGTGGCTGGGGCGACGGCTTCCTCGCCACTCTGCGGAATGGCGCTATCGGCCAGAATAGGGGCCACAGCGGCGCCACGACGGCTTCATTTGTCGCTGGAGGCGACTGGGGAAAGGTGTTGAACCTGGTTAAAAGCAACAAGGCCAAGTACGACTGTTACGTGGCCATCCAATTCGGCCATAACGACCAGGTGCAGACCCTTTACCTACCTCTGTCCGAGTACTCTATTGTCACTGTCGAGTCGTTGCTAAAACGTCACTTTTTACATCGGTCCAGAAATCCACCTCGGGCATCAGCATGTCGAGCTTCCAAACCAACCTCCAAAATATGGCCAACCAGGTCAAGTCGGCCGGCGGGACACCCATAATCCTGACGTCGCTTTCGCGCCGCACCTTCACCAGCGGCAAACTAGATGATAGCCTGGCCAACGTGGCCCAGGCGGCCAAGAAGGCCGCTGCGGCCGTCGGCGTCACCTTGCTTGATCTCAATGACGCCTCCAAGAAATATGTTCAAGCCATCGGCCCGTCCAACGCTGACAAGTACAATCTCTCCAACGGCGACCGGACTCACATCAACGCCCACGGCACCGTCGTTTTTGGCCGTATGGTCGCCGACCTCATTGTCGGCTCGAAGCCGGCGCTATCCACCTATATCACCCCCGACGCCGCCCTGTCCAAGAAGATTGCGCAGGGCGTCTACGCTTGATCGCGGCGAAAGGGAAACGGTCCACCGTGAATACCGCATAAGCCATGGCTCATATTTCTCTACTGCATACTATTGGATGATGATGCATGCCGTTTTCTCTTCTTCTTACTCACTGTTACACTCTTTTTGTATATGCCAAGCCTGATCTTCGAAATAGTCTACAGCTGCTGCTGGTAATGCTTTGCGGAGCCATGCTTCTTAGAACGTCATTATAACCGGGGACAGAGCATATTATTCCTTCCTCCTTGGTCTCTCTGCTCTTTATGTTTTTTGTTCCATGGCGCATGTCCCCCGTCAACGTTGGCTCCAGCTCCGATCCCACCATTGTGAATCACACTACGAACGAAGACGATGGGAAACCCGAGTTGTCCTCTTGCCAGGAATTAGAAAAGGCGAGGAAAGGAACATACGACTCCTCGGTAATAGACCTGGGCTGCTTCAAAGTAGAATCTTGGGGAGCTTGAGTTCATACCTGAATCTGGATCAATGAATGAAATCTCCGTGCGACGCAAGTGGTGCAAAGTCATTGCGAGACGTGACTTCGGCTCAACTTAGATATTTTCGTAGGGACAACAAGCAGGGCAAGATTGCACCACCAATGTTAATCCTGCCGAGCGCCTCGCAGCGGAATTGCGGATGGTTCAGGAGAACTGCATATGTAGATGTCAATGAACAACGCGTTATAAGCACATCTTTCTTGATAGGTACTAGTGCAAGGTCCCCGTTTTCCCTTCCCTCTTTGCATGTTTTCCATGCTCCCTCCTCTGTATGTGTGTGCGGTGCGTGTAGCAATTTCCACCAATGCTCACCCTCCCTCATTGCTCGACCCTGTGTTAGGCGAGACGCCTCGATGGAGAAGTACCTGGGAAAAAGCTCAATGGGATAGCTGGGATAGGGATCTCGGAAGTAAACCCAAAGCTCGATTTGAGGTCGGTCGGCAGCCGTGGAGCCTGCCAGCCGGCCGGCGCTGTCGTGATTTTGCTCGTGGTCGAGTAAGTCCCCCCGGAGCCTACTCGCAAGCATGACCCCGTTCCGTAAGTATTGTTGCAGACGTAGTTGACTTGCGAGCCGGCGTTAGTCCACACAGAGAAATCCTTGACAGTCATGCCGGTGCACGGCGCGCCGGCAGCACACTTGAACTGAATTAGGCCTCGCTGCACCCTGTTGGCGCAGTCTCCTTTCCAGTTTGAGACGGTGATGTCCTTCAGATGGATGCCGCTGCCTGAAGCTGGGGTCATGGATGCCCAAGCTTGGTCGATATTCAGGGAGTAGGCATTGTTGTGCCCGATGAAATTGTCGAACTTGACATTCTCAGCCGTGCCGCTGCCGCCGTTGGACTTGATCATCATCATCTGGTTGCAATTGACCGAGTAGACCTTGGAGTAGAATTGCAGCACATATCGAAGAAACCGCATCGACCCACATAACAGGAGGGTGTTTAAATACCAGGCAGTGACTCTGATAATGGCAAGAGCGACCTCGCAAAGGAGCTTTGCACTACCAGTTGAAGTCATGGTGACACAGCCGCAGGAAGAGCGCCACAGATGTGGCGCATCTGGGACCAAGGTGCATGGAGTTAGTTCCTGGTGTGCTGGCCTTCTTGCTTGCTTTTGGCCCAGAATTGTATCTCAGATGCCTTGAACTGTTAGATGGATCAAATCGCATGGCCCTAATTGAAATTTTGAGGCAACACCTGGATTTCTTTTCACCCGTTTTGGGGTGCTTTTTTGTCGATTTTTCAATCCACATGCCCAAGAACGGCCGCTTTCAAGAAAGTACAAAGTACCTTTCCGGCCTGAATCTAACCTAGGACCTATCACGTTGGAGCACAACGGGTTATCGGTGGCCTGCCAAATTGCAAGGAGGTGACCCCACAAATGATTCCTAGGACACAAGCACACACCGAAGGTACTCCAGAATCCCGAATTCCATATGTCATACGGATACACATGGTCCCTTTGAAGGTACATAGGCCACCTGAAGAGGGAAAGGACAAGCTTGCTGCGAGGGTGGCGCGCCCCTTGCAGGTTCTATTCTTGTGTAGCTTTCATTGCTTGCCGCTGGCAAACCCCCACCTCCCCTATTGGGTCACCGAAGCCGACAGAGCGACACTGGAAACACCACGGTGGGTACGCGCCTCAAGCTGGAACGGGAAGCTGCCCAACCATTCACAAGCCTCCCACCAACCACGTTCGATTGATAGCTCCGACTCCTGAGATGTCTGACAGCCAGGAGCTGGCCGCGATATTACTCTCCACTCATACCAATGGGTGTGGGGCACGTGCGGGGAGACATGTCAATGTACCGATAATCTTGGTAAGTGATCGATGATCTCCTTGATGAGATTTGAAGGTCGCACAGATATATAGCCGGGCCGATCCGCCTTGGCCAACTTGGCTGCCGTTCCATGTCAGTCTTGTGACAGATACTCCAGAGTTATATCTGCACCTCCTTCCCGTCAAAGCTCCTACGTGTCCGGACGACCATATCGGCAATGGCAGCTCGGTACTTGTTTCTTGGGGTTGTGGGTGCCGGCTTGGCGGTTGCCAGCTCCGTCACCTGCTCGGGCAGCGCCCCTGTGAGCTGTCACAACACCACCTCGTTCGACACATGCTGTCTTGAATACCCGGGCGGACATATGGTGCAGACGCAGTTCTGGGACACCAACCCGCCCGTTGGACCGTCGGATTCGTGGACAATCCATGGACTGTGGTAAGCTTCTCTCGCCATCATGATGTTGGTCCGCTGCTAGTACATGTATTTATCACTAATTCACATCTCAGGCCTGATCACTGTAAGTCGCAAGTTGGGCGAAAGAAGCTGGGATGTTCAAATCCATGAAATTAAGACTAATTAATATATGAAGGCGACGGCACGTTTGACTCGAGCTGCGACTCGTCCCGCGCCTACACCAACATCACCCAGATTCTGCAGGCCGCCTCACCTGACACCCTATCGTTCATGCAGACACATTGGAAACCCAACTCGGGCACCGATGAGTCCTTCTGGGAGCACGAGTGGGGCAAGCACGGCACCTGCATGACCACGCTCCGTCCTTCGTGCTATTCCGGCTACCAGCCGACACAGGAAGCCGTCGACTTCTTCGACCGTACCGTGGCCCTCTTCCAGGGACTTCCGTCTTACTCGTGGCTAGCGGACGCCGGCATCGTGCCCTCCACCACGGCCACCTACACGCTCTCCGCTATCCAAGCCGCGCTGACGGGCAAGTTCGGGTTTGCTGTCACCATCAACTGCAATTCTGGCGAGCTCAACGAGCTGTGGTATCATTACAACGTCCAAGGCTCCGTCCAAAGCGGCACCTTCAAACCCACCAGCCCCGTCGGTGCCGGGTCCACCTGCCCGTCATCCGGCATCAAGTACCTGCCCAAGTCGGGAAGCACGACTCCTACCTCGACGTCCAAGCCGTCGACCTCCTCGCCTACCTCATCACCGACCGGCACCCCTGGTGGAAATGTGCCGTCCGGCAGCGGATACCTGAATGCTGTTACCGGCGGGTCCCAGAAGGGATGTATCATCAGCGCCGGGACATGGTACACCTCCGGGACGTGCGCGACCTTTACGGCTACGCCGAGCGGTACGTCTTACCCATTCATCACCACACCCTCTCCTTTAAGTGCAAGTTAGGTAGAGGTACTAATCATTTTCACGTGCCCACAGGCTCCGGGTTCACCCTCTCATCCAGCAAGGGCAAGTGCGCCATCGCAAGTGGTGCTCTGACCTGCTCGTCGTCGGTGTCAAGCGCAACTGTTTTCTCGTATGACGGAACGCATGTGACGTATTCTGGCAGCGCGACGTTCTACTCGACAGCGGTTCCGTCGGGGTCGACGCAAGCCACGGTTTATACCGCGTCGAACTCGGTGTCGCTCCAGCTTACCTGGCAGGCACTTTGAGGATCCCTTGTAAAGGGGTCTGATCGCCTAATTACCCGCACTTGAACACCGAAATACTATTAGCATCAATTTGCATTCCATATTTTTGCCGTCGAGTCTTAATTAACGGACGACGAAATCGGACTCTTTGCCCTTTGTAGTGTCGCTGAGAAATTTCGCCGAACATGAAAGGCAGGGGACACGCAGTGGAGATACACACCCATTCTGCTTCGCCGTGAACTATTATGTCCGCTTCTTGAGGTTAAGCTGGGAGAATGCCACTGCTGCTACTCCGTCCACGGTCCCGCCGGGGAACTGCGTCAATGCCAGCCGCTATAAACCTGCCCATTCTACGGTTTGTTAGCCTCAATGAACTCAATCATCACCTCGGGTGTATCTTTGACCTTTCAACAGTATTTTGTTGTAAGGACTCGATGCAACCTCGGTGAGACTTGATTTCGCACAATGTGAGTAGTTAATGGTGTCTTGCAGTCAGTCATCTTTAGCTAGCATCTACCGGGAATGCTCAGAGTGAATTCCGTCCTTGTAAGCCAGAACTGTATCTCCAAGGTACCTGGTACTGTCAGATGGATTGAATCACACACATATATCGCGAAAGATTGAGGCACCAGCTTTTATTTATTTTAACCTGTTTTTTGGGGGTACGTTTTTGTCGATTTTTCAATCCACATTCCCAAGAAGTTAGAACGCCCGGTTTCAAACGAACTACAGAGTACCGCCCAAAGTACCTAAGCCTCAGCCGGCCAAGCGGCGTGCCACGGCAGTAGCCGACTGATTATCAGCCAGCCAGCCAGTGGCACCGCCATCAGCCTCATTCAGATCGACCTCCACCGAGGCAGATACGCAAGGTCTCACATCAAACCAACAAAATAATCCCAATACTGGCACAGCGCCCGCGCATTCCACGAGCCCCGCATCTCAGCATTCAACCCGTCCGCATCCAAAATCCACGACAAATACTTGCTCTCCCACCCACCCCCAAGCCGCCCTCCGCGCGCACACTCCGCCCGCGCCTTACAAAGCTCCCAGTACGCCGGATACCAGCCAGCCTGGTCCCAGCCGAGGATAGCCACCACGCGCGGCGGGCCGCTACCGCCCCGGCCGCCGGAGATGATGATGTTGCGCGGGTGGAGCGCACCGTGGGTGAAGACGACGGGGATGTCGGAGGGGAAGAGGTGGTGCGGGGTGTAGCGGGTGGTGGGAGTGGGTTCGTGGGCGTAGGGACCCGCGCTGGAGGAGTTGGAGTGGGAGCCTCCGGTGTGGCGGCTTTGGGAGAGGGCTACGGCGACGGAGACGAAGTAGTCGTGGAAGGCGGCGACGGTGGGGAAAGGGCCTGCGGGAGGAGCGCCGGCGTGGGTGCTGCGTTGGAAGATTTCGTCGTGGAGGGGGCCGTTGTCGACGCTGCCTGGGAGGTTGTTAGTATCTTGCTTGGCAGGAAATTCAAAAAAAAGAAGCGAGAAAAAAAGGAAGAAAAATGAGAACCAGGAGGACAACATACCAACAAACCCAGAACCGCCCAACTTCAGCCGCCTCCACTCCGCCACAATCCCCTTCAACTGCGTGGCCACCACCTCACGCTCCACCTCACTCATGCCCGCCCACCGCTCCTCCAGCAAATCCCCCTCAGGCATGTCCATATACACAAACCGCTCCCCCGTCTCAGCATCTCGCCGCCAACCAAACACTTCCGGCACCGGCACCACACTCTCCTCCTCCTCCACATCCATAGCCATCCCATCCTGGCTCTGACCGTCCCCTCCACTCCGGCGCTGCTCTTTCGCCCGATCCCCGGCCGCCATCAACATCCGCCGCACAAACATCATCGCCTTCCCCTCGGCAGCCGACACCCCACCCTCACCCCCCGAATACACCCCTCGCCCATGACCCACACCCCTCACATGAGCGGGGGTATCCAAGTCCGGCCCGTACTTAACCAACAGCCTTAATCCGCCCGCACTCCCATGGCCAAACGGCACCAACTTTACTGCCGGTCCCCCTTCAGCGGACGGCAGTAGGCCCAGCCGCGCAGCCTCGCCGCGCACGCGTGCCGTAGACGGCAGGTCGGGGTAAGACGAGCCGAAGGGGGCGAGTGGGATGGCGCGGGTGAAGTAGGAGGAGTGGGCGAATACGACGTTTTCGCCGGCGGGGAAGAGGGGGGTGACTTCGATTTTGGCGTGTTGCTGCGCAGCTGTAGTAATAGGAGCAGCAGGGGTAGGAACAGGAAGGGAAGAAGAAAAGTGGCGGGTTTGTTGGAAAGGTGTCAAGGCTTGATCGTGGCGGTGGTAGTCGTAGTAGTTTTCATGGTGTTCGTCGTTTGCTGCCGCTGAGGCGGCGGGATGGGCGTATGGGGTGGAGTTGATGGTTAGGGTGAGGTTGGCAAGGGAGTCGTAGAGGGCTTGGAACGGGTCATCCGCCGTGTTCATGGTGGTGGAGGAGCCGGTTGCGCCATGATGGTGGTGAGATGTGAAGGGGTCGGCGTGGGGATTGTTGAAATCGTTGTGATTGTTGTGGGTGTGGATGGGCGTTCGGGGGAGGTTGGAGGAGAGCATTCTGGTGCCCTTCTCTACCAACATTTAACTGCGCCTGAGCTGATATCGCGATGAAATGAATTGGGGAGTGTGTCTCGTGAGATGGAAGCGCGGAGCTGCAGCCGCGGTGAATGGTCGAATGAGATGCACGAAAATACGTTCTGCGCCAAGGTCGGTTGGTCGGTTGGTACTATGAAATCTTTCTTTGTTGTTCAAAAAGAAGTCAACAAAACAAAAAAGCTGCCGAGGTACACCACACCTGAGCAAGAGGAAGGAAAGGAAGGAACGGTCCCATTAAGCACGAATTTCTACTGCAGGCCAGAGTCGCAGCGGCAAGGAGGGGTTCGGATCAGCTTTGGTATAAGTGCGTGGTGTGTTGTCCACGTTGGGCAGTTCCCGTAAGGGCCCTTTCCGCGAGGGCCCGCTGCCAATGCTGCCCAACCCACCATCAAGACCAGGACACTACCCGCTCCCGCAATCACACATGGAAAAAAGAGCTAGGGCCAGGCGGCCGGGAGGATGCGGGAGCCGGGGGATTGTGAGGTGGAACAAAAATGGACATGACAGGGGAAAAAGAGAGGAGGGGAAACAGAAAGGAACCGCCGGTTCGCGAGCTTCCCGTTGACACAAAGCGGCACGGTGCATGTGAGTCAAAACCGGGTACTTGGGCCGTATGTACTGGACATACAATATGGCACTAAGGTAGGTGGGCGCGCCGCGCGCTTGTGATAAAAAATGCGGGTGCTTTCTTCCATCCGACGTGGTGGCCGGGAGAAATCGGAAAGGGACCTGCGCAAGCGAGAGACACCTCAGAGAGGCAAAAATCCACGGGCGGGGAAAGGACGGGCGGCAAACCGTTGTTTTGTATTGAACCAACAAAAAAAACACAACTTGTTGAATTGAGCTTGTGATGCAGGCGCCGGGGGAAGGAGGGGAAAATCTGACACAAAAGAATGCAGAGATAACGGACAAACGGAGAGACGATCTAACCAAAAACAGTTTGTGGGGTATATCGTACGTACAATACACAGGCCGGACTGTTATCTTTTCAGCCAGCCTCTCAACCCGAGAAACCCTGTTCGTCTCTCTGCCGTAGTGTACATTGATCGTACAAAGCGGTGTGATTCGCATTCCAAACTCCTGCTTTTTGCAACCTTTTCTAAATGGTTCCGTGGACAACGTCATTTGTCTTACGCACGCGACCGACTCGCTTTCTCCTCGGGGACCGTCGGGTCGGGCCGCTGGTAAGATAGATAAGCGAGCGAGATACGAATACTGATAGGTAATGTCGCCGGCCGTGAAATCAGGCCAGGCCATATTGAAAGACCCAACTCAACGGCTCTTGACTTGCCGGATCAAACATCGTGTCCGTCATCTATCGCCTCGTCAGTTGATTGATTGCACAACCAATGCCCGGTCATGCATTGATTTCCCAGAACGGAAGGGGGTCTTGCGCCCGGGCGCGCCACCAATAACTCACCATGTAATCCCATTCCTCCATCGCAAAGTCAGGCGAGATGCCCTGGCTCTGACCCAGCCCCCCGATTCCGCCACCCACAACAACACCACCATTCATCAGCCCCGCGCCAACCCCTCCTACCCCTCCTGCTCCTCCTGTTCCCACACCACCAACACCGCCCGCCACCTCCTCATGCGGCGGCCGCCCGCTAGCTTCGATCCCCTCCAAAAGAGCCAGACACTTCTCCTCTGCATCTTCCGCCTCGCGCACCACGCGCGCGACGGCTTCTTCATCGCCCAGCCCCTTTCGCAGCGCTTCCACCTGGGCATACACCATGCACGCGGCTAAATACCCTTTAGTGTTCATCTCCCCAGTCTCCATCGTTTTCCACGACCAGACCTTGAAATCCTGCAACGCCACCAGCAGATCGGGGCGCAGTTCCACCGGGCCCGGGCCGAGACCAAACCCTTCCTCCTCGCGCAGCAGCGTCTTAAGCTCAATGGCAATGACCACGAAGCTTTGGACGGCGACGGTGCGGAAGAAACCCGCACCGCTGATGGCGATGCGTTGCAGCGGGTCCCACTGCGGCCCCGTCGTGTCTGGGGAATGGGAGAGCGGGTTCGGGAAGACGGCGCGCCAGAGCCGGAGGGCCGATTCGACGACCACGCGCCGGGAGAAGGCGAAGGCGGTTTCTTGGAGCGCGGGCGCGAAGAACGGGAGGTGGAGGCCGAGGAAGTAGCGGCGGAGGTGGAGGTCTATGACGCGCTGGTCGAGGTTTGACGGTCCATGGGGTTGGCCACCTGAGAGAGGGGTTTGGGCGCTGGTGTTACACGACTGGAGCGTGCGGGTGAGCGTTTTGTACGCCTCGCGAAGGTTGGTGTCGAGCCTCAGCGTTTCGGCGTAAGCGCCGCGGGAGGATAGATCGTTGAGATACTTGACGATGGCCAAGCGCTGCGGGAACAGGTTGCGGAGGGCAATGGCCAAGGTAGTTTGCGTAAACTGATCGGCTGGCCGGGGGACAGGAGCCTCGCCCTCCTCGCCGGTAAGTTGGTCGTCGTCGTAGTTGCCTGGTGGCTCCGTGTCGAACTGATCCAACTCTATCAACGGCGGTCCGCCCGCGTTGAGGCTGGACTGCAGCAAGAGCTCGAGGATGGTGTTCCATATTCGGCGGCGCATCTCGGCTACCAGCGGTGACGTCGTCTTGGGGCCTAGACCGGCCGGATCTCTGTGTAACCCCATGGACATGGCAATGCGCAGGGTGGTTCCCATGGCAGCCCACACCAGCTCCTCACCCACACCAGCCGCCTCGCGGGCGAGATGAAGCAAGACATTGCTCTGCAGCGACGACAAATTTAACCGACGCTTGAACTCGGGCGCGGACAGCCATGTATGCCCCTCGTAGACCCATCGCATGGCGTGCGGTCTCAGGGAAAACGAGTCATCATACGTGTTAGACCCAATCGCCAGCACCAGTTTGAGTTGGACAAGAAACGCAGGGTCGGGAGTGTGGCTGGGATCCCACACAGCTTCGTAGTTGCGCCGGAAGCTAGGGATGTGCAGCACGCGCATCATGCTCTCACTCGTGTTGAGGTAGCATTCCACGAGTGCATCGGCAATCGCCCGGGCAGGTAACTCGGGCGTGGGCATGCATGGCCACGGGGGTGCCCGCCGGGCCTTGATGATCTTCCCCAGGGCCTTGCATCGTTTCTCGGTGACTACTGCTTTGGATGATTCGCCGTTGTGTAGATGGCGTTCAATCACATCAAACATGTCATTGAGCTGGGAGAGCGAGTGAGTCTTTGTTCAACTTTCCGCCCAATCACGAACCCAAACCAAAGCCCACCATCCATGGCAGAAACCACCAAAGGAAAGCCAACCGCAAACAACCAAACGGGCAAAGGGCAGGGGCCACACTTACCAGTCCCACGGCATTTACCCAGTGGCTCTGGCCGAAAAGCCGCGTTTTGTGTGTAACGCTCCGGGTCACGGCCTGCGGTTGGTTGGGCAGCCGGTGCTCCGTGTGAAAGTAGAAATTGCCGGCAAACAAAATCTCCTTGGTCTCAACCCGCGAGTTCTTGGTGAACGTGGACACTGGCGTGTTGGCCGAGCTAAACGCCGAAGTGGACGACACAGCGCCAGTCTCAGGCCCTGCCGTGCCTGTCCGGCTTTTGGTGTTGAGAGAGGGCCGTCCATGAGCGCCGGCAGTCCCCGTAGTGACCTCGGGGGACCGACCCAAGGCTAGCGCATCGGCGCTGTAAGCGGCCGACGGCACGGCGGACGTCGGCCGAGACGACGAAGCGCCGCCGGGGTATGACTGCTGATCATGGTGATTATGGTGAGAATGATGACGATGATGAGGGTGAGGATGACCAGTCCCGACTGAGAACGACACGCCAGTACTCGGAGATAAGGGTCCCGGGGCCTCGGATCCGCGCAGCTGGGACGGATCACCACTGCCGCTGCCACTCAAAGAGCCAGAGCCTTGGTGGGTGTGGACGCTGCTGCTGCCAGCAGTGCCGGCACCAGCGGCAGCGCCAGTGCGCGACGCGCGTGGTGCCCGCGGATCTTCTTTGTAGGCGCACGTTGCATTTTTAGACTTTGTGCAGTTGCTGCACGGGATCTGTTTGTCGCAGCGGATCTTGCGTTTCCGGCAGAGAATGCAGGAGCTGGGGGAAGGGGGACGAGGAGCGGGCCGAGTTAGCTTGCTTGTATCGACAGCAGAGGGAATTGAGATTGGAAAGGTGAGATATGCCGGTGATCGAACTGGGCAGGTCGGTTCCCGGCTTGAAATGATGGAACCAGAAAAAACACGAGTCGAAACCCAGCGTTCTGAATGGAGTCGGTGTGTGGAATGTGGAAGGGGGAAGGGGAGTCGCTGCTGGAGTTGGAAATGATTCTCGACGGCTCGAAATCAATCCATCATCCAGTAAACACCGCGGACTCGACTGGAACTGGTTGGGCCGTCTCGTACTTACACCGCTGGCCGTCTCCGCCGTTTCTCAGGCTCCATCGCCGATATTCCCGCCCCGCTGCTCATGTTGCACTCTTGCAGACTGCACCCGGCTGACCGCGTGGACCGCGTCGAGAGCACTTGAAACACACGCTCGGGAATTGTTTCGGGCGCAGAGGGAGCAAACGGCTTTTTGTGCTTTTGTGAAGAGAATGGCCGGCAATTTGTGGGCCTACAGGATTTGAGCTCGATTTTGTGCCGCACAACGGCTGAATAGCGCCCCACGGAGTGTCTTCCTATTGGCCGTACCTTACCCCTGCTTTTATTAGGTCAGCAAACGCCGAGCCCAAAGCCCGAGTCCGCCGTCGCACTGTCCGGACTAGTCAGCCCGATCGTACCGACTAATCCAGCTGCCCAGCTGCAGCAATGCTGAACAACTTCGGCTGTGCGTCGGAGGAAACCTTTCCACCACGAAGCAGGGGACCGCAAGAAATAGGATTAAAAATGAGACCAAAACTAACTAACGTTGCCCAACAAGGAGCGGGCCGAGCCACGCAAGCCCCTCTCGGACCCGAGGAGGGCAGCAGTCCGAGTGTAATGCAATGGCGCGATGATCAATCCGGACTCCGGACTCATGGAATATAATAATAAACCAGATTCTGGCCCTGGTGCTCCCCTTTCTCCGGCAGCCAAGCTTGACCAAGACTCGCGCCACCGTTCCATTTCTAGAATTCTCCTTCGATCCCATCTACTAACCAGATCAGAAGATCTCGGAACTAAGACCAGGGACAACGAGCGAACGCACTAACTCCGGAGGATCCAAAGGTTCGCTACCCGCTGCTCATCTCGGCATCCCTTGTCCTTCACCCGGCCGGCCCTATTTTTTTTATGGTTCTCCGGCCTTCCTTTGTCCTGCCTATTCGGGGGTTCCGTCTTATCCCATCGACCACGCCCAAGGTTGGTTAACCTTCTCTTGGCCCGCCGCCTTCGCTTCGAATCGACCTTTCGTTCTTTCCGTCTTACCAGGAGACGAAGCCATTCTTGGGGGCATTGTACTTGGCGCAACAACCGATACACCATCTCTCAACCCCATCTGAGAGAAGACGAGCATACCCACCGACGACGCCATGGCTGCCTCCGAAGAAGTTCCTCAAGGGTCCCCCGGCCTTCCACCAGCCCACGACGAGAAGAAGACGGCCACACCCAATGACACCACCACCGATACCGAGTCCGCCAAGGCCAACCTCGCCGCCGAGCCCGGCACAGAAACCGAAACGGGGACCAGTCCAGCCTTCCCTCCCGCCCCGGATGGCGGTCCGCGGGCTTGGCTCGTCGTCGGCGGCTCGGCGTGCATCTTCTTCTCCTGCCTCGGCTTCATGAACTCCTTCGGCGTGTTCCAGGCCTACTATATGGCCCACCAGCTGCGCGGCCACACACCCGATGAGATTTCATGGATCGGCTCGCTGATGGCCTTCATCCAGTTCGCTGGCGGGGCCGTCGCGGGCCCGCTGTTCGACCGCTATGGCGTTTGGGTTATCCGCCCCGGTGCGGTACTGTACGTCTTCGCGTTGATGATGACCAGCATCTGCAAGGAGTACTGGCAGTTCATGCTCGCACAGGGCGTGCTGGCGGGCTTTGCGATGAGCATGCTGCAAGTGCCCGCGTTCGCGGCTGTCTCGCAGTACTTCGACAAGAAGCGTGCGGCCGCGCTGGGCCTCGTCGTGTCGGGCAGCTCCATCGGTGGCATCATCTTCCCAATTGCGCTGTCCAAGATGTTGAACGCGTCCTCGCTCGGGTTCGGCTGGTCGGTCCGCATCATGGCCTTCGTCATCACCCCGCTCCTCGGCTTCGCTTGCTTCGCGGTATCCGCCCGCTTCCCGCCGCGTGTCACCAACTTCTTCATCGCGTCCGCATTCACCCAGCTCCGGTTCATCATGCTCATCGCCGCGTCGTGGTGCTGCTTCATCGGCATGTTCATGCCGCTCTTCTACATCCCCACATACGCCATCCATCGCGGAGTCGACCCGACCTTCGCATCCTACCTCCTCGCCATCGTCAATGCCGCCTCGACTTTTGGCCGTATTATCCCCGGCATCCTCGCCGACAAGTTCGGCAAGCTCAACGTGTTCGGCATCGGCGGCGTCCTCACGGCCGTGATCGTCCTGTGCATGAACACCGCCGTCAGCACGGCTGGTCTGATCGTGTACTCGATCGCTTTTGGGTTCGCCTCGGGCACCATTATCTCGGGCGTGTCGGCTGCGCTGTCGATCTGCACTGACGACCCGCGCAACCTGGGCACATACATGGGCATGGGCATGGCGCTGGCTGCGACGGCCGTGCTGGTCGGCCCGCCGGTCAATGGCGTGTTGTTGGACAAGTACAATGATTACTTGCAGGTCTCGCTGTTTAGTGGTGTGATTTGCCTGTTTGGTGGGTTTTTGGGGTTGGCGACCAAGCTCACGACTCCGCAGGGGTTGTTTGGGCGGTCTTGATTGAGCGGGCATGGGCGGGAAGTTAATACCCTCGAAGCCAGGGACGGTTGGGTTTGGGTGGCAAGCATTGATTTGTTTCCTGTGAATATTTACTTGGGGCGCGCCGTTTAGTAAGAAACGGGCTATGTTATGTTGCTATGACAATGATTAGATTGTATTAATTAGGGGCAAAAAATAATTAGACACTCCCTTCTTACCTACCACTACCGAGGGACTTCCGGATCCCGACCCGGGCCTCTGCAGGTAACTACTTTCGCTGTTAGTTGATTGCGTTTGCCATTCGTCCTTGCAACTCTGCAACTCAGTTAAGCCAACTCAACCATGCCGAAACCACGGGCGGAGGTGATTCAGGGGAGGGTTAAACGTAGGTCGACAAGGCAAGAAAGTATAAAACATACAAGAGGTTCTACTATGTAATTAGATCGGTTGTGGTCGGTCCCAAGACCCAACATTGAAGAGGTGCCAACCCTGCGGCAGGCTCATCTCTATTCGCACCGTGCTGAAGGTTCCCGTTAGAACAAGAGCCATTTCCTAAACAGGAAAGGATTAAACGCCGAGAATCTTTGTCATCCAAACCTCAGTCCTTTCCCATATGTGGATCGAGTGTAACTGGTAAGATCGGATGATTTCACCATAGCTCTCGTCAAGTCGGTTGCACACCTGTGTCCGCCCTGTTCTGATTCGGAGCAAGGCTACCAGACACCGGAGTTACATTGAGGCTCAACAATAGGCATTGCATTGTATTTCTTGTCGTCAGTTGTTGTGTTTTGCCCCGTGAATGCTAAGTTTCGGGAATTGGTGCCCATCAGCTCTTGCTTGAGTGTGGGCGGCAAATTAATCCGAGCGCCCCAGTAATAAAAATGAGGCCGATTATCTTGTATCGCCTTAATGAACATAAAACTCTCCAAATGGATTTAAAAGTGTCCTTGAGATGCTCAGCATCTGCTCTACTCGCTAATTAGTTCGCCAACCGCCGAAGAGGTATCGGTGTGGAGGGTTGCCCAAACAATTTAGCCTTATCAATCTTTTGTCTCGCAGAGTAACGGTTAACACCGATACTCTAATTAACTCAGGCGTTCCTTCTTCGGCACAAACAACAGGAGGCCAGCACAACAATAATGGGGTCGACCAAGTGGCTTCTGGAAAGGCTGTGGGGTTGACAACGCAGAAGATTGAGGTAACTTCCCCGTGAAACAGCGAAGTGATAAGTGTTCGTTTGCTTTCAAAGCACCACGATAATTCCTAGGTATGACATGGCAGGAACATTCACTATGGTACTAAGGTGGATGCAAGATACGATACTGAACCTAAGAATTGTGGCTCTACAGTGCTTGTGAAAGGAAAGAACGTGTTGCAAAAACATGCAGCAATTCTTGTCAACAGAACCTAATACCTCCGCACACCTTGTGTAAGGTTCCTTCCTCTGAATATAAATTAGGAAAGCACAACCAACCCCTGGACCAGTTTCTCTTTCCCACCGCTTCATTTTCCGTCGTCCACAGAATTCTCTTCTTCCGAAAACAACCAAAACCGAATCGAGCAAAGCCCGACACAAATTCGCTGCCGACAAGATGGGTTCACAGTTCCCCGCGGGCGATTTCCCCATCCGGGTTTCGCAAATTCACGAACCCAAGTTGCCCCCGGACGATCTCCACAGATATTGGAGAAGCCATGAAGAGGAGGGTTACCTCGAGCGGTATTGGCCGGGCGATCATGACGACGCCGCTTGGATCAGAAACATCCGCAAGGTCCTCAGCCACCAGTTCCCAGAGTTTGCCGACGCTGAAATCGAGTACTTCGCAAAGGGTACTTTCAACCGTCTCTACAGTCTCAGCCACCCGAAATGGGAGAAGCGCTACATCTTCCGCGTCTCAATCCCCGTTGAACCCTTCTACAAGACCGAGAGCGAGATCGCCACCATGGAGTACATCCGCTGCCACACTACCATGCCCGTCCCCCAAGTGATCGCCTTCTCCTCGAGCGACGACAACGAACTCGGTTACGAATGGATCTTGATGGAGAGAATGCCCGGTGAGCCGCTGCGTACACTGTGGAGCTCCATGCCTGACGAAGCGCGTGTCAAGGTGTTCGCTGAGTTGGCGGCACACGTAAAGCAGCTGGTTTCTCTGCGATTCAGCAAGTTTGGTAACCTGTACTTCTCTGATGTCGCTAAACACGTCCTTCCATCCGATACATCGATTCCATCCAAACTTCCCATTGACGACAAAGCTGTTGACAAGGACATTGGCCACGATGGTCGTTTCGTTCTCGGTCGTCTCGTCTCCCAAGAATTCTTCTTTGACAAGCGCGTGTACTACCCGGGCTCACGAGGGCCATTCGAAACTACCCGAGAATGGGTTGACATGCGTGTAGCCCTCCTTGAAAAACGGCTACAAGAGCTCTCTCCTATCGAAGGACAAGCCTGGTATTGCGAGAATGATCGGGAATTGGACCGCAACAAGGACCGCGTTTACAAGCTCTTTGACGAGTTCAAGGCATTGATCCCCCATCTTGTCCCGCACGACAATGGTCCGGAAGACATTGGAATCCTATTTCATGATGATCTCTCCGAGCACAACCTCCTTCTCGATCCGGTCACTTTCAAGCTCACTGCCGTCGTCGACTGGGAGTCGGTCAGCATACTCCCCGCATACGAGGCCTACGACGCACGCCCGGCCTGGCTATCCGACCGTGATTGGCGTCCGACGCCCCTTGTCCACCTTGCCCGTGGGATCCCGCCTAACGACGAATTCATCACAGCCGACAAGCTCCGCCGGGTGGGAGAAATGGGTCCTTCTCGCCAGAAGTACCACAGCATTGTCGGCCCTCTTTTTGATGCCAGCTCGCCCAAGACCCAAATGAGGGTCAAGAACAAGCAAGGAGTATCAAAGCAGCTAGAGGTTGCCACTTTCCAGCATCGCCCTTGGTGGACCGCAGCCTGGATGGCTGAGAACAAATTCATTGCCGACCCTGTACTTAGCGATGTCACGAAAGTTTTGAACCACGATCCGATCTCCAAGGACCATGTATACAACTCTCTCGACAACAAGCCCAGCACCAACGGGGTCGACATGTCGAACACCGCCATCGACGCACGGTCTTAGCAAGACGGTAGCAACGGTAGACGGTCCAACGATCACTCTCCTCCATCAGGCCCGGCCCCTCCCTTCAAGCGACGCCGGCAGGGCTCCATCCGACAAACCTTTGGTCATTTCTGGAATGGGACCATGGATGGTGTCGCCCGAATTGCCTGTGTTCGTCGAAAGCAGCACGTCGACGCCTGAATCACCAAAACAGCAAAGATAGGTAACGACAGGTAGTCCTTATAAATACGTTGCCCATTTTTCTTGCATTCACATTCGTCCAAGTGGTTCCATTTTACGCTTGTTTGTTTTTCTTTTGTCTCTGTGCGTCAGGTCCCAGCGTTGTACGGCTTGCTACTTGCGCTAAGCACAACAGCTCTAGTCCCCCTTGAATTATCACTCGCATTTCTATCAAATGTTTACCGCATGGGCTTGTATGTAGCACAACAAACATTAAACTCCATTGTCAACCCCTATTGTCAAGCCGCCACGTTGTGAGAGCGACTTGTGAGGTTCTCTTCTTTACTGACGTATTTGATTGGAATCAGCCATTGTCTTGTCCCACAACGGCGGGTTGTATGGCCAGGGTTGTTTGTCCTCGTACATTGACACAAATAAGCAGTGGGATTCATCAGTTGATCAAGAAGTATCAAGGTGGCCGTCACATATTATTGGATTGATTACCGAGCATATCCTACTATTTAATTATCCCTAATAAAACGAATTTTTGGAAAGAATGTGTCCTATCCAGCTTGCCAGCTTCAACCCCATTTGCTTCAAGAGAGGGACGGGAATGAAACTAGGCAGGAGATGTACAGGAGTGAAGACAAATGAGAGCCAGTGAGACAATGAAAGAATACAATGAAATAAAATAAGGAGAGAAAGATGGTAGCCTGTTGACCGGCATGCCGGGAATTGAGCTGGCGGCGTTGTCGGATCCCAAGAGCAATGTATCACTCCCGTCGTTAAAAGCCACACACAACTTTGTCCCTTGCAAGAAGATGATTTTTTTGGTTGTTGCTTTTCTCCCTTTCCATCTTGGTATGAACGGTTTGTGATGCTCCGCCTCGGTAATCAAAAGAAGGGGGCGGGCAAGGCCGACCAAAAAAAAGGCCCCGGGATTGTCGAGAGAGACCGGTATCCGGATGTCTCTTTACAACACCTTGAGGCAGCTGAGGTCGACGTCGGCGAGGGTGGTACCCTGAAAATGGGAAGAAAAGGAGAATCCAGTTAGCCACTAATTCGTGTTCTCCTTGGGGGGTGGACACTCAAACTTAAACTTACCTTGAGCTTGTCTTCTTTGCAGCAGTACGCTTGACCGTTGCAAGGGCCGGCGATGTTCACCACACACTCGAGAATGCCACCGCTGCAGCAGACGTTGGCCGTCTCGTTGGTGCATTGGTTGTCGGCGCCTTTCTCGCCTTCGCCACCGCCGCGGCGGGCGGGGGTCTCGAAGGAGGGTAGGGCCGAGGCGGTCATGGCGACGGCCAGGAGGGTGAAGAGGCTGGTGATCTGCATTTTGAGATGGTGGTGGTTGTGGTGGGTGGTGGGGCTTGAAGAAGCTGACTGAAGTTGGGTTGGTTAGACTGAAGGAGTGTGAACGAGGCTTATGCTGGTGATGGTGGTGGCGAGAAGGTTGGGATGGGAGAGGGAGGTTGAGGGGAATATTATATAGATTTTGGCTCCCATGCGTGTGGGTTGTTCTCTATCTTGTTTCTATTGTCGGTTTTCTTTTGGGGGCGTCTCATTTCAGTGAGTGGCTTCAGTCGGCGGAGTCTAGTTCTCGTCCTTTTTCATCATCGACATCAAAATTTCCTCTCTTAGGCCTGCGGCGCCACGGACGGCGTGACTATGAAACGTACTATTGCTTAGAGTTGGGTCTCATGCTCGTATGTTCGGGAGGTTAATACCACCATTCAGTATTCAGTGTCTCAAGTCTTCCGCGGGCTGGCTTCAGCTCGTAGAGGAAAATCATTTCGTCGCCGCGCCACCCGAAGGCCGGGACAGTAGTGGTCTAGGGGCCCTTGTGTATGTTTTCAGTCTGTTCGTCCCGTCAGTGCACCATGGGATCGACTGTGAACCAACCAGTTACTTGGTTTATCCTATTCAATAGATGATTATCATTGCATCTCGCGGCATCTGGTTCTGCCGGGGATATGCTGCAATTTCATGACGATATTTAGGACGTCAATGTGTGAAAATATTTCGGAGTTGTTGTCGTGAGAATGGCGACACGTCGTGTCCCGAGCCAACTCCACCACTGGTCTCACCCTAGGAAAAGATGGTGAAAATTAGATAGACGGTCAGCATTGAAAGTTGCGCAGCGGATTGGTATTTTTTGTTTGCTTTTTTTCAGCGTTTATGGCTACACAACACGTATTATGCCTGCCCACAACAGGTTGATGACAGTGTTTGGCATTCCTGTTCCCACAGCGGTAAAGGTTGCCGGACTTCCCCTCAAAAACGAACGTTGTCATACACGACCGCGGGGATAACGGAAAATCGCAATTTTCTGAACACACAGGGACACAGGGACAACCAGACTTTGCCTTATCATTGCGAAATGTGATGAGATTGACTTGTTACTTTGCTGTCTAGGTCTGAACAAACCATGCCTTATCGCACTCGGACTACTCGTCTTCTGTTATCACAACAACGGGCCGTAGACCGTGGCGCACAGCCAACTGTAGGACAACGTCAAACCTCTGCTTCCCATTGCAACATCACAACTTAAAATGTTGCCACCTTCACCTTCAACAAACTAAGCGCTCGGCCAGTCACCCGGAGCTGATGCGGCCTCTTCCACAATGGCCTCCGAGGTCCGGCCGATCCTCCTTTCTCAAACGTTGAAGGCGGTCGGGTGAACTCTACTCGGCCAAGTCCACAACGGAAGAGCCACGCCGCGGCGCAGCACCTGAACACACCGGAAGCAGCTCCTTTCCTCTTCCAATTTATCCAGCTGAGGATCATGACCACAGCGGCGTAGTCTAGCCCAGGCCGTCGGCTTGGTTTTACTCTCAGCAGGACGACGCCCAAAGCCGTAGTCGCCGACGTAACCGCCAGGCACCAAGACATTCGACAGGGGTCTCATTCCGGGTGGCTGACGATCCGGCCCGCTCTAGCCCCAGCTAGTCTGTGCTTATTTAGACGACGTGTGAATCCTTTTCCATGTCATACCGTCTGTGTGGCTGGGAAGAGTGGAGCGTCCAACACAAAATGTTGCTAAAACTTCGGGTTGGTTTGGGCATCGTCTTCTCGTCAACCAGCGACGGTGCGTAAATTCGGAACCTTGGGATTTGAACTAGAACATCCACCACCGCAGCCCTGCTTTCAACCACAAGGCACGGCTTCGACATTTTCGGTCGCTTCTTCCGATCAGTGAATAGTCATCATGACTAGATAGACCGCTAAGCCACCTACAACTTGTAATTATAATGTTAAGGTGAACATATTGTGGCTGCACCCCAAACCGGCGGCCGTCTGGGCGGGCACAGCGCTGTCTCAGACTCACGTCCTTGTACGACTTAGCCGCTAGAAAAAGCAAACAAGCAAGACGAAAACAGGGCCCTCTACGAAAACTGCATCTGGAGCGGTAAATCCGAGAGGCTGCGACTCGAGGTTGTCAATATTCAGGATTTGGGTGGTCTCCCCAAATAATAGAACAGCCCTGTTACGCAGGTTTAAAATGAAGGATCCTTTCTACCCAGGGGTTACCCCTCTCAACAATAATTACACGGCACGAGCAAGAAGTTCGGGCCGAACGGCAAGATCGACCGTGATGGGAGGGAGGTGGAAGAGGCGATCCACATGCGACCATAGACTCTCATTTGGCAAGTCCCTGTTTCTGACCACAACACAGCGGCAGCAGGGGCAACACAGAAAGAAAGTCATGGTCGGTGCCGACTCATTTTCAAGAGAGCAGTTCCTGCTGCTGACCAGCTATGCGATACCTATTCACAAGTCACAGGCATCAGGCTGGACAGGATCGGCTGCTATATCTCTGCGCCTGAGTTTGCGCTCGGAGGGCTGATGATTGAGCGGCCCTTCGACTGCAGTAGGGTGTATTGCAAGACACGATTACTCGTTATGGGGATGAAGCGATGCCGCCTGCAGGTGCGAAATGCTGTGGCGCCGTGGCGGGGATACATCCTTCGGAGGATTCAAATCGGTTAACAGGAAGCAACGACGAGGATGTAGACACATGCCTATTTCTAATATGATGGAAACGATGGCTATACGTGTGATAGGAAGTTAAACTGGATGGAGTTGTCGGTCGACGGAGAGATGTTGGCGCTTCGTCTCTCCTGCGTTCAACCCTAACCCGGATGGTCCTTTATGTTACCTCGCTATGGCCAAAAAAAGCGGCAGACCAAGTCCCTGGATACCTTAACTTACTTTGCTACTTCGTACAAACGTGAAAAAAGACCAAAAAGAATAAACCAAAAAAGTGAAAGAAGACAAAAAATAATAAATCTAGAAAGTGAAAAAAGACAAAAGAGAATAAACCAAGAAAAGTGAAAGAAGACAAAAATGATAAATCTAGACAAAAACGAGTAGTTAAATCAATCAAAATTTACCAAGACTTGATCGGATGTTAATGGAAAGGATTTGAGCTATCTGTTTGAGTGTGCCGCTTTTTTTGGCGACAGCGAGGTTACCTACCTAGGCACCTTAGTGTAACCGTACCGGATCTTGGGGGCAGCCTTCTTGTTACCAGCTGTTGTTTTACCTCGGCCTGTAGCTTTGATGTTGGCCCTGGTACTTGCCCTGATCTCCATACCTACAGTGCTGGCCTGTGAGCCTCGCCGCTCTGCCCTGCTCCTCGAGACACCGAATACCGATCGCGCAAGCTGGCCCCCAAGGCGTGCATCAGAAAGTTTCGTTGGCCGGTCGGTCGACCGGTGCGTACGGTTGAGTCGGTAGGGTGCATGTGGCTGGCTGGCCGGCTGGTTGGTTCCAAGTTGGTTTGCATTGTACTTGTATCTCGATAAGGTACCGACTGTACCTATGTGGCGAAGCCGTAGCAACAATATACTATTGAGGGGGGCGGTTGGGGGCGGCCGTTTCAACAACACAGTCATGATCGCAAGGCTTTACCGGAGAATAGCGACGTTTTGGGCCCATCTGCGGCCCTTCAGGCTGCTTAATGTCCCGCTGGCCACGGCTGCCACATGAGGCAAGTCTCATACCGATGGCCGCTCAGGCCATGGTCCCATGAGGGATACACTAATCGAAGCATGAAATCCCTCATCGGCCAGCAATGGCGAGACCATAAATCAATGGCTCGGGCATGGTCGACATCGGGTCTCGTATGGCCAAGCCCGCAAGATCTAAGGGAAATGCCGCGACCTAGCTGAGGCAAGAGTCCCCCCTTACCATAACCAACGGCACCGGATCGCGACTCCTCCTGGACAAGCTTGCTCTGAGGTTGATAAATTGGGCCTGAGGTGGCTTGAGACGGGCCTCCGTCTGGGAAACCAAATTGTCGACGGTGTAAATGGTTCCACATCGATAACTGGGCCCTTGTCGACTACAGCTAGCCCCCATCAGTAAGGCCATGCCTAATCTCTCCTAGACACAATTACTGGATCTAGCCTCAGGATTTCTCAAGGTTTGGGTATAAAGGTCCTTGAATGGACTTGCCAAGTATGCCCCGTTGTTATATCATCCCCTCAACAACCTTTCAACCCCCACAATCATTCACTCAAAGTTTTCAAACCACCGACACATTGCGTCGACGCACAAAAGCAACCTCTCCTTCCACCACTTGGCCAAATCGCTATTGCCCACGGACACACAAAATTTTGCTACCCCGTTCATTATTTACGCGCTGATCCCTTCGAATAGTCATGTGCCGCTTCAAGGAGGTTCGTTTATGGTGCTGCGATCGTCACTATGGTTACAAGAGGATGAGCCCCTGCGGCAGAAACTGCAAAGCTAGCCCGGCCACTATTATCCCTGGCCATGTGATGCACGACGACAGACTTTTTGTTTGCGCCGAATGCACCATATATACCAATCAGTTCCTCGCCTCTCCCGCGGGCAGCAACCGTTCTTCCCCCGCCCGCCGCCGCCGTTAGACATCGTGTCAGGTCGACGTCGCTGGGCCATCTTTACGCTCAGCTTGGTCAGGGGATCTATCATGGGAGAGGAAGTCAGGGTATGGCGAGGCTGGCTCTCGCTTTCTGGAGAGGACGCGCTGGTCGTGTCCATGGTTAGGTACACTGGGGTAATCGGTTGTTTGTAGATAGAACGGTGGCTGTAAAGGTAGTGGCATCTGATAACACGCTAGTCGTGGGAAGTGGGAATGGAATCGTTCGATGGTCAAAGTCCTGCGGATTCCAAGCCCAAAACTGCGTCACGTTTCGTTTCGTCTCTCCTGCTGCAGAGTACATCGAATTTAGGTCGCGTTCTGGCTTTTCATTCCTGGCCCTTTTGATATGCATTAGGAGATGACGAGACGTTATCATGAAGGTTGGCTTAGGGATATTTTTCAAGGAGGGACACGATCTGGTTGTTCAATATTTTTTGGTGAGGCGTTGGGCGTTCACATTTGTAGGTTGGGCATATCAGGGGAGGTCGACCTCGGACGGAAAATGGTAACCTGATTATTCGGGGTATCTTCTGCTCCTGAGAGACTTTTTTGCTACCGAATAGACGTGGCATAATTATGGTTTTGGTGGGCTGTCTAAAGGACAACCTGAAGATAGAGTACCTTACTTGCAATTATTGAATTATTGTACAGGAACCAAAACCATCCATCATCAGTAATGATAAGATATTAATGCCAAAATATATATTTCGACCTTTCTTTCAATGTGAGTGGTGTTTTTAAAGGCAGTATCATAAGCCTACGCCCCAACATCGCTCCCGGCGGGTGGCGGGTTCCCAGGTCTCAGGAAATCTCTCCCTACACGGGGTCTCGTCCAACTTACCTCTTCAAAATCGGGTTTGGCCAAATGGCGTGCTCGAGCTGCACTTTTGCGTATTAGCTAATTAGGCAAACAACTCCCGGCGTTCCTGGGCTTACGTACCTTAGCCTCCGAATGCAGACTGCAATACGCGTACCGTAGCCAGCTAATCATGCCTTTGCGGCGTTCAAGCGCCTCAGATCTATCACCACCCCGCATATTCAACAAAAATACAGCAGTTGTCACATCCACAAGGCAGCCATGCTTACATGCATCGGTGCGACAGGCACCAACCATTACAGTGATCTTGACATCTTGGATAAATTCTTCGAATCCTACTGAGACTCACTACTAATCGTCCCCTCTTTTCTCAGTAAATTCCAGCGAGTTTTCTCGGAGTTCTCCTAAACAACCCAACCATTAAGTCACCTATGTGACTTGCCCCTCGCAACAATGGCCACCACAACCGCACAGTCCAAAGCCACCTTCGCCGATCAGGTGGATACCTACCAGGCTGCCCTAATTAGCCTCTTCTCCGGCAAGCCAGAGGAAACAGAGGCAGATCTGTCGAGGCTGTTCACCCCGACATTCACACAGCGAGGCGATAGAGCCACCCACGACTTTCCTGCGTGGATCGGGCACGTTCGCTGGCTCCGTGAAAACTTCCCACCTGGGAGCGTCAACCTGGTCGTCACTCACTTTCTACGAGAAGGAAATCAACTTGCCGAAAGGCACATTGGGACGATGATAAAATCGGACGGGACCGTTCTCAGGTCCGAAACGTTCATGTGGGTGGAGATTGCGGAGGATGGGCGTATGGCTTCGATTGTAGAAACGGTTAAGGGTCTGGAAGAGGGTCGGCAGAACTAGGAGCTCGGACTTGGTGGTGGGTGTGTGTCGGGGTAAAGATTCCCAATCTGGGATAGTGTTAGAGAAGATGGTGATACTACTGGGAATGAATCACTGGAGAGCAGTTGTGGCCCTGCTTGTTTGCAATCACTTAGAGTAATAACTGTAGGATCATCCGTGCCGTTTGTGCTAACAAGGCGCTTGCTGCCCGCTTTGCAGGCCGGCTGGTCTTTTCCCAGCCGAAATCTCAAGTTCGATTTTCCTACCCCAGTTACAGTAAGAGATTTATATGAAGAGCGATGATAATTTGTAAGTGCGCCAATGTCACCGTCGTTGTGTTTCTAGATGGAGCTGCGGGTTGCGGAGCGGACTCTATGTAGGTAGATCCCCGAGTATCTTCATTCAGCTGATTCACCCCAAACACGAAACGCCCGATCCGCCGCAAGTTCCTCCATCAACCATCCAACAATCGGAATCAAATATGTTCCCCTCATGGCCTCAGTATATTCCTTCACCTCTAACTTCAACCCCCCTTCCTCATCCTGCCCACCGTTAACATCCCCTTCTACCACATCCAGCCGCAGCACCTTCGGATTGAAAGCCTTGACTGCCGCAGCATCCGCAACGCCACGAACAAGATAAACGCGAAATGCGTGCAAAACCTAGATGCCGTCGGCGAACTCGCTGTATGCGTGCACGGTACCACGATGTACCACCCCGAAATGGTCGCGCCACCACCCGCGGCCGGCAAAGTCAAAGTCGTCCTGCTTATTTCTAGCAATGCTACTATCCCAGAAGGGGAGAAGATGACCGAAATGGTCAGGGTTGGGCCTAGAGCTCTTTGCATTCGGCACGACTGAGCCGAACAGGTGGGCTGCGATCTGGGAGATAATAAGGCGGCGGACGAAGGACTGGACATGGATATCACGGAATATCTCGGGAGTGATGGGGAGTTCATCGGCGCCTTTATCGTTGCCGTTATCGTTGAGGTTGTCTTTACCATTGTCTTTACCATTGTCATTGCCGTTGTCGTTGTCATTGCCGTTGTCGTTGTCATTGCCGCTGTCGTTGCCATTGTCGTTGCCGTTGTCGTTGCCGTTGTCGTTGCCGTTCCTGTCTTCAACGATGTAGAGAGGCGCGGGCAGTGACGGGTCAAAGCGGTAAGGGAGTGGGATGGGGATGTTGATCTCCAGGAAGCAGGGCGTGGTAACCTTAATTTGGAGGCCCCTGGGCCGCACGAGACGTACGGACGGAAATGTCATGGTGATGACTTCGACGGGAGGAACCAAGATAGAGGTACACACAAAGGGGGACTCAGGGGTTTAGGGAGAACTAAACTTGAGAAGAAACTCAAAATCTGAAAGTGGTGCTAAGTCTCGGTCTGCAGGCCAAAGCTCTGATGTGTCCGGCGTTGTTTAATTGTGGACAGTTGATGAAGTTCAGCATGATCAGTGGGAGGAAGGGAGATGCCGTTTATAGGTAATCTCTCTTCCTCCCTGTGTGACATCTGCGGTCACTTCGGCATTGAACTTCCCGAGCTTTTTGCAGCGTGTCGGTGGGAAAGCTGACACTGTCAAGACATGCAAAAGCCAACCAATAAGCTCCCCAACGAGGTCAAACGCTTTGACAGGGTTGGGGTTAGGGTTATGCATAACTATAATCTTGTATTTTGAGCCGACATATATGTTTGAAAAATACACTTACTTGGGTTAGGGTTAATATCTTATCATGCTATTACTTTAACGAAGATATATTCGCTTTTTGAAGGGCCTGACCCTCGGGCGGGCCTATTGCGGCGTGGGGGGTTCGTGGCCTATGAGGGGTTTGAGGCTCCGTACCACATCCAACGAGTCCCCCGCTATATCACAATCTTGCAAATGTGGCTGTGCATTCTGGCGGCGGTGGCTGATCTTTTAGCCCCGGGGTTGATTGCGAGCGCACGGTCCATCTTCCTAACTCGGTAACTGCACAGGCAACTCTCGTGACCTTGTCCTTTCCTTCAACAAAACTGAATTCAAACTTTTCCTGCACTTACACCAGCACTTCGTAAATCACACTCTGACATTCCCTCCATGAACTGGTATCAACAGTACGACTATGATCTGAGTATAGTTGATTTTGCTACAGAAACTTCAATATCCGGCTGGAACAAAGCCAAATTGTAGCGGATGGAGTATGCGCCCACTTGTTCTCCAAACGTTGGCAGGACTCGAGTGCCTAAGATCTACCCTGCTCAATGAAGGACGCTGGCGTCGCGGTGCCAGGTCATTCAAGTTGGATTTCTGAAAAGTTCCGCCGCGATTGGATTGCCAAGTAATATCCTGTAATAGACGCCAGGGAGTTAACCCCTTTTCGCGATGAATGGGCCGACCCTCGGGCTACCCACCTAGGTAGTCACCGTCGGTCTTGGAAAAAAAACAAAATCCTTCAACCCGGCATCTTTTCGGCCCCTACTATTCAGCCATAATTCAACGTCAAACAAGCCAAGGCGTTAGTGGGCCCACAACAATACGGCGGCTCTTAATGCTTACGGTCAGGAAATACCCGATCTTCCAGATCCTACATTTAATGAGGTTTGTCACCCGAGATCTGACGTGGAGAGCTCTAGCGAAAAAAAGCGTGGGACAGGTGTACTTCATGACAGTACAGTTTTTCATGGATATATTAAACACGCCGATGATTTGGAACGCAGCTCAGTTTTGTTTCATGGAGGAAGTGCGCATGTCCGTCATTGCGGGCACCCTTCCAAGGGTAAGTGCAGTTTGTGAAGAGGGGAAGGAGGGTTATTTTCTGTAGCATTGCCAAGTCCCTCTGCCTAAATGTGAGGTTTTGGTGCGTTTATGGACAGTGATAACTATGCCACACCGTACTGATGTTACTGCTCGGAAAGTTTAAAACACCAAAAGTCCGAGATCATAGATACGTTACTATGTACAGGACCATTACATCGGGCCACCATACGGCCCGATCGTGTGAGCCCTCTGGACTGCTGCCTTGTGATTTCCGAAGAAGGGCCCGAACATGTTGTCCCAAACCTCGGCAGGGCTATTTGAAGTTTTGAACTGTCAGTGAACAGCACGGCTGCCCCAAGAAATTTTGTGAAGGTAGGTGGTAGGTATAAATAAAGTGGCCGACCCGCCAGGCCGTCAATCTTTTTTTCATTTTTCGACCTAGCCAAATTTCCTCCACAAACCTTTTGGAGGATTCGGTCTGCACTTTTTTCATCCTCCCCTCTACAAATCTCGCACAACATGGCTCGCCAACTTTTCTTGGTGGCGACGCTTCTCGTTAGTCAGGTAGCTGCCCATGGCTACATCAAGACCTTCACCCTAGAGGGCACCGAGCACGAGGGTTTCAGCGCCTCCAACCCTTCCCCCGACCCCGAGGCCATCGGTTGGAGCTTCACCACTCCCGACGAGGGCCCCGAACTTGACTTTGGCTCTCCCGACTTCGTCTGCCGCCAAGGCGCCAAACCCGCCAGCAACTCCGGCACCGTCGCAGCCGGTGGTAAAGCCACATTCCTCTGGACCTCCGACGACAAGGAGAGAAACCCCGACGGCTGGGCCAAAGGTCACCGCGGACCAATCCTCACCTACATTGCCCCCTGTGACGGTGGCGACTGCGCCAACGTCGACAAGTCATCCCTCCGCTGGACCAAGATTGCCGAGGCCGGCCTGATTTCCGGACCCGCCAACGTCAATGGCGTCTGGGCGACGGACAAGATGCGTGAGAACGGAGGCGTCAACGAAGCCACTATCCCCGAGGCCATTGCCCCCGGCAAGTACGTGATCCGCAACGAGATCATCGCCCTCCACCGCGCCAACATCGGGGAGCCCGAGTTCTACATGCAGTGCGGCAACATCGAGATCACGGGATCTGGCACCGACGACTTGTCCGGCTCTGGCACCGCGGCGGGTCAGCTGTACAGCAAGAGCGATTCCCAGCTGTTTAACTTCGATATCTACGACAGCAAGGACACCGAGTGGCCGATTCCTGGTCCCCCTCTTTACAACTCGGGATCGCCTAAGTCATCGCCGACACCGTCGCCCTCCCCGAAAGAGTCTCGGCAGGGCAAGAATGACTGGTTTATCCGCTTCCGGGCTTGAGCAGGAAAAGGGAGTTAGAGCGTTGTGGGAGGTGCGCAACTGGTTGGGTTTCGCGTCAGGATTGGCGTGAGGAAATAGACGAGAATTTCTCAATTTATTTTCTTTATTCTCATCGTGATTATCGCTAACGTGCACATGTAACACTAGAATATGGGATAAACAAGACTAACAACACAGCCCAAATACCATCTTCTCAAGAATGGTAACCATACAAGGTTTTCTGTCTGTTGTGTTGCAGCTCGAAAGTTCCGTTGACTGGCTCGTATAGGCACCACCTTGCCGCTGATAAGGCTCTCGAACGCGACCCAACAAGACCAGAATTTGTAGAGACGCGGTTAAAACAAACCCCTGACCCGTCACCTGGCCCCGCACTTCCGCTAATTTCGCGTCCCAACTTTCGTCACGTTCTTGTGCCCCAGCCTCCCAACTCCCCTCACCACTCCTCCCGCCACGCACCCGACAATTTCCAAATGAACACCGCAAGCGAAGGCGCAACAACGAAGGTACCCGAGGTGCCATTCTGTGTGCCTCGCACGTTGCGACTCCCTGGCCGGCTCACGTTCGAAGGTCCCGACACAGTCCGCAAACACGGAATATCATGGCGACTCCGACGCGAGGTGGAAGCGATGGAATACGTCCGGCGGCATACCTCGATACCTATCCCCACTATTATCGAAGTTCATTTTGATACCGAAGATGAGCAATCCCCAGGCTGGATCCTGATGGAAAGAGTTGCGGGAGTGGAACTGGGTGTAGCTTGGCCGGAGATGAACGAGGCAGCTCGTGCTGAGACGACGAGGCAACTTGGGTCATGGCAGTGTACCCGAGCGAAACGGACGTGGACATGTGTCTTGAAACGTACTAGCCACCCAAAAATAATGGATTTCTAACAAGCCACCCTACCCCCGTCCAACTCAACGCTCCCCCAACCAATTCTTCACGCCGTCCACCTCAATGACTTGATAGTAATATCAATCTTCATCTGCTTTGAGAGTCCATGAACTATGCCCGACATTGGTTAGTCCACCTCGCTACCCAAACTCCATTTTGTCCCGCAAGGTGCCGGACTTCTCAAGGTCAACATCTTGTAGGCCTTGGTAATTGCCAGAATTAATGGGGCATCCCACGAAGTCGGTGTGAGATGCCTAATACCTCCATCTTCCGAACGTGAAGTTAGATACAGTAAAACCAGTGGTTGGGCTGGGTCATCCCTAGGTGGTGCAGTGATCTTTTCTTTACCTCGCTTTTATCCTGCCTTTCTCCCGCCATCTTCCCTTCTGTTATGCACAGCGCTCCGGTGAAATTAATTAATCCAAACCTTATAACTCATACCTCAACGTCATCTCAGACATGGTGACTATCGCACCGCCGTCGATAGCTTGGTCGAGATGTGTCCCCTGGCCGGGGGAAAGACAAACCATCCTCAGCTGTTGTGTATCACTCCCACTCTCACGGGGGCTCTGGCCCGGATATTTGGCCACAAACAACTCCCGGTAACCAGTCGGGGAAAAGCCGAGCCGCTCGAACGTCCTTTTCCCGTCTTGCGTAGCGGTAAGTGCTGTATCTTGTGAGTATTGTGTAACAATCTCGCAGTACCCCGCGGGTCCCACCGAGAGATGTGGGAGCGAAACGCGTACCTGAAATGCCAATGACATTCCACCCTGGCTTCAACCGAGCTCTCGCTGCCACTTCTGCTAAAGCAAACTCTGAGAAACGTTGTCCTTTCATACTCTCGTTGAACGCACCAAACTTTTCAATGTGATACACATGCAATCCGACTTCCTCTTCCACCACACGTCCCATTCCATTCTCCTGACCATCTCCCCCGAGTGACGAACCTGGGAACATTTCCCCTGGCTCAACATCCGGTTCCTTCAACCGCCCATCCAAAAGCCTCTCCCAATACTGTCTCCGCAACGGGAGCACGATAATCACCCCAACAATCCCATCACCATCCGTCCCGTCACCGTCATTAACATGATCGTCATTCTCAGGCGACAGCAATACTTCCCGTGGTGCCGGCGGGTAACGAAAACAGACACACAATTCCGGACACGCGTTGGCCCAGGAGTAGAGCCTATCGTAAGACAGTGCGACGGGGTACATGGCTTGGTCGGAGGCGTAGACGGTGCGCAGGAGGGCGTCCGGGATGGCTGTAGCTATTGGAGGAGGCGGGAGGGGATCCATGGCGGTGGGTTGATAAGAGATTACTCTGGGACCTGCGCCATGCAAGCAGGTTAGGATAGGTAGTTGGCTAGATAGTTGGTTGGTTGGTTGATTGATTACCTATCTGATTTTGTTGTGCTGTGTGCGTTCACTTTTATTATGTGGTGGGACGTGTTCGTGCCCTGAACCAGTAATTACCAGTGAAAGTGAGCAACACTGCGTGCACTTGAAAGGTGAAAAAATGCGTTGCAAATCGATGTGGGTCAAAAAAGCTTAATGCCGGCAAAATAGAAAAGAGTGACTTGAGTCATTGCCCACAACCAGAATCGAACTAGTGACCTTGTCATTACTAGTGACACGCTCTACCACTGAGCCATGCGGGCTTGAACTGCAAGTTGACATGCAAGGTCGCATCGAGAGTTCATAGCGCAAACCACCAGGTTCGTATTTCTTCAACAATTTCCATCTCTTATTTTGTCTTCATCTTCTCGTGAGATGTATTAATGCTAGCCGATTACTTCTCTCCTTCGGGTCTTTATCAGCATTGCTCAACCACAAAGGCAATTGACGAGCCCGTAGACTCTCACCATGGGAGGTACCAAGCCACGATCGGTCATGAAAGGGGAGCCTCTGCGGCCGGCTTTTTGTCTTGTCATCTCCTTCTTGTGTATATTTCTTTTCCTGGCAACTTCTAGGTTAGTCTCTAGGCTTTCTTAAACGATGACAATAGTCTCAGCCACCTCAAAGTGGCTTTCACATGCTATGGCTCTTCCCAAAGCCCCATACCAACGCAATTAATTCTCCAAGTATTATAGTGTATGCCAAATACATTTCCTTCTTCCTTCACTGTCCTCTTTCCCTCCCGTTGTACCCCCATTGTACTCTCATTATACTCCTCAGCCCGAAGGCGGACTTTAATCCTGGGGGAACTCCGCATTCGCTGCTTGCATCTCCTCATGTAGCATGCTCTTCGTCCGTCGAGTTGCCCAGCACGACCGGCGTGAACAAGGATAATCTCGAATACGGCAGGTTTTGCATATAATTCATCTCGATATTTGTAAGCGCGACGATTCATACCACCTCCCGTCCAATTTGGCGAGGTTTACCAGCAAACTGTTGGTTCTCCAAGTTCTCTTGCAGGGGGTACGCACAACTCATAGTCCAGTTTCGTCAGGACTTCATAGTGGGGACAGATTCTGAAGGAGCAACGCTGAGTGCCCTCCTTCACAAACATGGGGGTGGTTTACGATACTGGACCGCAGAATTGACGGAAACGGTACTTGGTGGTAGGAGCTACCGATTGCGCCCTGTTCCCGTGCTGTAAGAGGGCTGCACAAATTATGAAGTCCCGTTAGGGGACAAAGAGCACCGCCGTCGGCGGCCCTATTTCCCGCCAGACAGCACTGACGGGGAACCCGAAGCCTTGGAGATCGTGCAGAGTTCCAGTCCTATTGCTCTCTTGAAGACGTTGTAAAATAATTAGCCTCACAGAAGGTAACAAGTAAGTAAGTGTTGAGCCAACTTGGGAACTCAAGGCTGCGTGTGTACCCAAATATAGGCTCAAGCCGATGTGGTGCATCAAGAGTCATGGATCTAAGTAACGTTCCGGGGTGCGCACTCACATCTCCGTCGCTCCTGCCTAAGTAGTCGTCTCCCCTTCCTCCCCAAAGAATGTTGGTTCCCCGTCATCTTGTCATTTCTCCTAACTCATACTATGTAAAAGGCAACCCCCGCCTGCCGCCGCCTCCAACATCTCCGACTTTCGGATCAACAATTTTGCACTTCTCGAGACTCAGGCCTCCATTAACGCTGATCTTCCAGTCCATTGTTCTGCTAGTCGGCTCCTCGGTCCTCCTGATGACGGCGAGATGGATCCTGCGACAACTAACTTCCTCCGGTTTTACTCAAAATTGCGCATCGCCCCAACCATCAAGCTCGATCTGATGACGGCAACCATCGACGACCTCCAGCGACTTCTGTCCACCGACTCGGGTCTGACCAGCAAGCAGCTCGTATCCCTGTATCTCGCACGAATTTACCGCCACGATGACTATCTGCGGGCTGTGATTTCCATCACGCCCCAAAACCTTCTTCTACAGCGCGCCCAGCAGCTCGACGACGAGAGGAGAGGCGGTTTGGTCCGCAGCCCTCTTCATGGCATTCCTGTCTTGCTAAAGGACAACATTGCCACCAAGCCTGGCACGGGCCTGGATACCACTGCGGGCAGTTTTGCCCTGGTCGATTCAAAGCCGCGTGAGAATGCCGTACTCGTCGACAAGGTGAGCAGTGATTCACTCGCTTATACATTCTCTCCGTGCCCGAGAGCTGAGGCCTCGGCAATACGCCCAGTCTAGCACTGCACCAGGTGGCGATGAGCCGCGAGTTTGGGGACTAACATCTCCTCCATAGCTTCTCGATGCTGGCGCCATTTTGCTCGGGAAAGCGAGTCTATCAGTGAGTGTTGCTACGCCCTTTCAGTAGCTTCCTGCTCCTCTAATACCGCCGATTCAGGAGCTGTCCTGGTGGAAGGGGTCGCGCTTAATCTGTGGCTGGAATGCCGTTTACGGCCAAGCACAGTCTCCTTATGTGCGGGGTGGCCTTCTCGCGGATGATACGTTTGCTGGACATAGCGTGAGTCTGCAGTTTCCGCAAACCCGCCGTGGCGAACCTGACTGACCTTTTACATTTAGAACCCGGGGGGTTCTTCCTCTGGCTCTGCCATCGGCGTCGCCGCCGGCTACGTCCCGTTTTCCATCGGAACCGAAACGTTTGGATCTCTCATGCTGCCCGCTGGACGTGCAGCTTTGTATTCGTTGAAACCCTCAAGGGGTATCGTATCCACAAAAGGGGTAGTTCCGATCTCCCGATTTTCCGACGCGCCAGGTCCGATGACAAAGACCGCAAAGGATCTAGCTTTCGTCATGGACGTGCTTGTCGATAAATGCAAGACTCAGGTTCCTAAAGGAGGCTACATTTCCCGGGTCACGGGCTCTTGGAAGGGGCTTCGCATCGGCACGCTAGACCCAGAGGTTTGGAACTTTGGCACGCAAGCCAGGAAGGTGCTTGACCCATCCATGGAACAGCAGCTGGTATGGGCCCCTCTTTTCCCAGTCATTATCTAGCAGAATTGGACCCCGCCAGCGGCCTGACGCCCGCCGTATAGAATGACCAGGTCCGCCATGCGTACATGGAGATCGAAAGACACGCTGACGTTTTCCACAACAACATCCCGATGCCCTTATCGTCGACATTGGATCTCGACGGGGAGTCTTGCCTCATGAAAATATTTGGTTTGATGATCACAACCGGACTCTTCTCAACCCACACTAATACTCTGTTCAGAAAAAGACTTTCAAGTAGAGTTCGAGGCATACTTAAGGCTCTGCGACACACCAAAAATCACGACCCTCGGAGAATTGATTCAATTCAATAGAGACCACTCTGACAAGGAACTTCCACCCGGTTCGTTACATGGCCAAGTTTCTCATCCCTCCGTCTTGAATAGGACCCGGCGGCTAATTTAGAATAGGAAACTCCAATCAAGAGATGCTAGAGAGGTGCTACAACACCAACATAACCGAAGAGCAGTATCTTAAGTACATTGCACACGTCGAGAAGTATGGTCGCGAGCTAGGTCTGAACGCGATCATGGACAAGTACAACCTGAACATCATCATCGGGCCCCTCGAGTGCGACCTGGGGAACTTTGCAGCGAGCGCTGGTACGACGTCCCCCTAACAATCCGTGAACCATGGTCGCTCAAGCAACTAACGCGTGTGCCCCGGTAGGCTATCCCATTGCGTCCATGCCGCTTGGCTATCTGGACTACAACGGCAGACCGCACGGTCTCGGGGCGGTAGCTCGTGCCCATGAGGACGGTCTCCTCATTCAGCTGCAGAGCGCTTTCGAAAAGACATTCCCCCAGCGTCGCCCTCTGATAAACGTGTGAAGGCACCTTGCGAGTCCCGGAGTTTTGTCGTGGGCTGTGACGATGAAAGCTTTCCTAGATGCTGCGACAACTAAAAGCGGAAGATAGTGAAAGGAGCCTGTGATCGCAATGGTTAGGTGGAAAGCCGACTGTTACCAGTGGCTCTGATTTTTGTATTTTCCAAAGTCATTATCCCAAAGCACTCGGTTACCATGCCCATCCTCCGTTCAAATTCCGTTTGCAGGCTTGTCTAGCAGTGAACAGACCGTGTAATTCTGGAATTAATAGAGAGCCGAGTTATCAAAAAATAGTTAGATTCCTAGGTCAGTGCATTGCAGGCTTACATTTCTGCTTGGGTGCTCAGAATATGCTGGCTGTCAGGGGCAACCCCTTTGTCATGTGCGGTATCATCTCGTGCTTAGTCTAATAGTCTAAATGACACCTAACGAGGAGCCTTCCTGCGCACCATGGTAAGTCAACTTCCGTTCTAAAGCCATCCCCTTTCACTTGCTTCTCGTTCATACAGCTAGAAGGCGATGCAGCCCTAGCTGCCTCGATATCATTAAGCTAACTCTAGGTATTTAACGACTCGACCGGATATGACCCGATGAGAATGCCCTCCCGTCCCAACAATACCTGCCCGCCCTGACCTGACCCTAACCCTGATCGTCCATGCTCGGTCCTACAATAACTAGGCATTTACGAAACAAGTCTCTTTACCAATCCGCGGGGAGCACACCCTAATGCCACCGATCCCACTCTTTCAGCAGGCTTCCAAGAGATCACGTTCACTCCAAAGGATTCATGGTGGTACAAACGACGGGTGTGCAAGCCGTCAGGCGATGAGGCCACCCATCCCGTGGTGGTACCCGACCGGTCATTGGATTGTCATGCCCATGATTGGGCACTCCTGCGTTTGCAGACGACTGCCAAGGCATCCATTTGCGTCACCAACCAACCTAGTTCATTTGTTTTCTCGGGGTGATTTTGTGGAAGGTAGGTACCTCTCCTCTGCTGGACGGGAGAACTGTGACGTGGACAAGGTCTGACTCTCTTCTTGTTAAGTGGCAGTCATCGGGGGCTTATGGTAAAGTTCTGGAGGCAGACAGTGCTGCTTTGATCCATCCAATAGTTGCTTTGCGGGCTTATCAGACCTGACTTTTAACTACCCTTCCCATGTGTGGCCAGGAGGTAGCCTTGCCGTCCTCAAGCAGCCCCTGGATCTCTTCCTCAAAGAAAGCCAGGAGCACGTGTTAATGGTGCATTCATCTTCAAAATTGTCTCTAAGCAAAACCATATGCTTCCATTGAAAGAAGACTCCAGTTAACACAGCCATGCCAGACATGATTCCCCAGGTACATCTACCCCTCATGAAGAGCCCAGCGCTTGATCATTGGTGAACAGACAGAGACGAACCAATGGCCGAAACAAACAGAACCAGCCAACAGAGGTCGGCGAGGTGAGGCCTACAGCGCTGCAAAGAACCGCAAAGGTGTCCGTTTGTTTGATGTTGCAGGCTCATGGAATCTTGTGGGAGAGGCAGACAGAGGAATGGTAAACAATGATAGCATGGTATAAAGTAGAAGAACGTATGCTACGACGAGGACATGCTTTTCTCCTCTTTCTATAACGCACTTGACGCCGCTGTTTTTGAACCTCTGCATCACGATCATCAAGCCATCAACGAAGTCCACAGCCATCTCCCGTCCCATCATGTTGCTCGCCATAGCGCTGCTCTTCCTCGCAATTTCTTTCCTCTATTTCCGCTCCCTTTACAGAAAATATGCACTTGCAATCGAAATGTGGATGCACGGGCAACGGAAAATTGCCTGCTTCACCTACATCAAGACATCAAGCCATGAAGAGCGTTTAGGTTTGCGGGCCACTCAAAACCGGCGCCTCAAACTCGCCTTCGGCATCGACAACTCGCTGACGACAGACTCCCTCCCCGTCCATTTAGCCTTTCTCAAGCGGGCCAGACAGCTGCTACGCCGGGACCGCGACTGGACCGAGCTGTTTCGGGTGGCGGAGGGGTTTCTTGTGAGTGAGCGGGATAATGCTATTACGTTGGCTGCCAACGACGGCGGCGGCCGCACGTCTCGGTTGAAGCTGGCTCAGCTCGTCCGCTGTATGGTTCTTTCGGTGGTGCTCTTCGACAGCTTTGGTGTTGATCCCGCCAGAACGCCTCGAGATGTGTTGGTTACCATCACCGAGGAGATCAACAGACAATGGTTGAGCTCCAAGCAGCGACCGTCTGAAGTCACCCCGTCGGCGGAACTAAACAAGACCATCGCGGACCTGCGCATCAAATCCCCGTTTCCTGATTCCAAAGGGGCTCTGCTGTCGCCGGAAGAGGTCCTCGGGCTACTGATGCCACAGTACGAGACCCTGTGGCGCGTGGTGCTCCTGACCTTCGTATCGGCATACTATCACCAGCTACAAACTGTCAATGACACGCTCCAGCGAACGGCCAGTGTACCGGGTTGTCTGGGGAATACAAGCGAAGAAAAGGAAGCACTCAAACTCGCCAAGGTAAGCCGTCCCTCCTCCTCACCCTCAAATGCACCCCTGAAAATCACACTGACTCTAGTTCCCCTCACAACAGGAAGGCCTCCGCCTCTTCCCCTCAAACAAACACCTCTACCGCACCCTCCCCACCCGCCACACCCTGTTCCCCCCAACCACTATCTCAGCCGACATCACAACCCTCCACCGCCACCCCATAATCTGGGGCATCGACTCCGCTCTCTTCCGTCCCTCCCGCTTCGACGACCTCCCCCACCCCCCTCCGGGCCCTCCTCCTCAACCCACCAACAACCGTACCAAGCAGAGACGAGCCTCAGCATCATCATCCGCACTCACCCCGCTTCAACGCAACGCTTATATCCCCTTCTCTATCGACCCACACAAATGCCCCGCCGCCTCCAACGCTTTCGGCGAGCGCATGGTCGTGACGCTGGTTGTTGCGCTGGGCAGGGCGTTAGGGGACTTTCGCGGGCAGGGGTGGGTCGCCGTTCGTCCACCGGCCGCAGCAGCAGCGGCAGCGCGTCCAGTTGGGAATCAAAACGGTGCGGGTGCTTCTGAGTCGGCGGCCCGGGCGGGTTTGGACTCTTGGGGGTTGCAGCCGGATCAGGAGCAGTTGGATGCGAGGGATAATAGTGAGAGAATGGGCGTGGCGTGGGGGTTGTTGGGGATGGTGGCGCCGGAGTGGGTGTTTGGGAGGAATATTAGGAGGGTTTGGGCGCTGCCGACGGGGAGGGATGAGATGGAGGAGTGGGTTTGGGAGGTGAAGAGGGGGAGGTAGCATGTGGCGATGAAGGGTTAGGAGAGTGTGTGTCGTGTGTGAGATCGTTTTGGAGTTGTGAGGTAATTTAGAAGTTCAGTGAATGGAAAGGATGGATTTGCCAATTACTTGGTGTTGTGGTGTTGTGGGGAGGAGCTCAAGATTCGTGCATCCGGATAGGAATCAGAAACTCAGGAATTTGAAATAATTAGTTGATAGTTATCACCAACAATTGGGATATTATTACCAAGAATTGGTGCCATGGTACTGTCCCCGTGTGTTACATAAAGCGCTAGGAGGTGCTTGTAAACACTGCCTAAAATTGGCCTGAGTAAATAATAATTCATAGGATTAAGCAGTTTGAGGTTGAAAACTTGAATGCAATCAAGACTTGTTGTGTGCCTAGGTGCGTGGGAGGAGCGAGTCAGACCCCCGCCGAAGTGGGGGGCCTTAAGGTCGCGTTCTTTTGAAAACATTCAAGCAAGGGTGACTAGTCTAGTGGTCAGGACGCTTCGTTGTGGTCGTCAGAGCACAGCTGAACCGAAGAAACCCCGGTTCGATTCCGGGGTCGCCCACACTTTTGCTCTTTACTATTTTCCTCCAGCCAGTTTTCGGTTGACTTAATTAGCATGGAAAGTAATTTTCGGATTCATTTTGTTCTTTACTGAAGCAGGCAAAGCGAGTCCAAGTTTCAAAGAGTAACTAAGCGTATCTTGCCACCCCTAACTACTCGTACGAGACCATCTTCGGAAGACCCCGTACCGTCTCTTGGCCTTTCACCGAGCTTTGCTCCGTCACCAACCAGTAATGACGGCCAACCAACAAGACGGGCTCACCGCCGGGTTCTTGTTGCCTCCTGCCCTGCAGCATTTTTGCCTAGGTCATTAACAGGGCAGAAGCTATCGATTATCCATCATTTCGGGCAGGGCACAACATCGAATAAGCTACAACAATCGGATGGCTTAATTAGATCAATTGATCAATTCAATGATATTTCAATCGAATCATCATTGACCCCCAATCGAGCCTCATCGTGAACGCAAGCATGAAGCGCATCGCCCTTTCAGTGGTTACGCTCCTTTCCCTCGCAAACACCATCCCAGCACTCTCCAGCAAGAAGAATCTCATCATTGACACTGATCTCTTCAGCGATGTGGAGTAAGCGGGACTGACCTTCTCGTCGTAACGCTTACACAATGCACTTATTCTTAAATACTGACTGATGCTAATTGCTATTAACCAACACCAGCGACGCCGGCGCCCTCCTCCTCGCAGCCACGCTCCCCGAAGTCAACCTCCTAGCCGTCAACATCAACTACCCCTCGTCCTACTCCGCCCTCGCCGCATCAGCAATTCTAGCCCACTATGGCAAACAGCACGTCCCGATTGGAATTCCGCGTCCCTTGACGAACGCGACCTTTTTTGATGGTTGGTACTTTGAGCTGGGCGAATACACCAGCAAGGTCGCCTACCAATTCTCCGGCGGTAGCCTTCCCTGGGGTCACGCCGAGGAAGCCTGGGATCCTGTGGCCCTATACCGCAAAACGCTGGCTGAGGCTGAGGATGGGAGCGTGACGATTGTGTCGATTGGGTTTTTGGATAGTGTACGTATCTACCTCCCCACTGCGCCTACTAGACTGTGCCTACTGGACCAGACCTCTCCCCTTAACCGCTCAATAATTAACACCCATTCAGCTATCACTCCTCCTCGACTCCCCCCCAGATACTTACTCCCACCTCCCCGGCCGCGCCCTCCTCGCCCTCAAACTCACCGAACTCGTAGTCATGGGCGGCGGCTACCCCTCAGGCCACAGCTGGAATTTCTTCGGCTCCGACCCCCGCCACGCAGCGCACGTTATCAACACCTGGGACGGCCCGGGCCGCGTGGTATCTCTTGGTGACGACGTTGGGAAATATGTGCTTACCGGTGGGCCGCTTATGGCTGCTAGGGGCGGTGGCTGCGGCTGCGGCTGTGGCCCGGAGGGAGGAGGACCACCAGATCCGGTGGCGGAGGCGTATATGTGGTATGGGTATGGGACGCCGCGGCCGAGTTGGGATGTGTTGGCTGTGTGGTATGCGGTGTATGGATTGGGGGGGCTGTTGAGGGTTGGGAATGAGGGGGGGTGGAATGTGGTGGATGGGGAGGATGGGTCGAATCGGTGGGTGGGAGAGGGAGAGAAAGTGGGTGATGAAGGGGGGAGGAAGAATGGGACACAGTTTTATTTGAGGCTGGCGGTTGGGAATGAGACGGCTGCGGAGGTGGTGGATGATTTGTTTTTGAAGGGGGCGTTGTCGGTTGGTGAAGAGGGAGAGGAACGGGGAAACGGGGAGTTTAGAGGGGGGAAGTGGTGTAGAGAGTGTGAGCATGAGGAGTTGTGATGAATTACTGACGATGTAGTTAGGCGCTGAATATTTGGACCACCAAGTCAGCCCCAAACGAGGCCCGAGTGCGAAACGCTGCATCAACTGATTCAAGCCAAAACTTTATGATTCGGAGCAACTTGCATTAAATCTATTCTCTCTCGCCAACTCCTGCCTAACTGTCCGAAAGCGATTATTCGATAGCGACCCAACTAACACCCTCGCAAAATTTTGTCTAAGACCTCGGTCGTGTGAGCCCCACCGACGACGACTCGCCTTCCCAAATGAGCCGTCCCAACGTGAAAGCGACACTCAATTGTACAACCCACCTCGCTTACACTTTACAAAACCAGTGACCACCCGCACCTGCAAACCAACCTTGTTATCCGCCGTCATCATTCCCTTTCTCCTAGACCGAGACCGACTTTGTAAAGTGGTACTCGGCAACGCCCGCAGGGCTGTGTCCACCACTGCAAGCCCGACCACTGCAAGCCCGCCCGCAACAACCGACATCCATGTATCTGCATGTGCATGTGTTTTTCCCTTCTCCCATTTCTCTCTGTTTTTCTCTCCCGCCAGCGAATTAATTACCCCCCTGCCCGGCCCGGCTGCATCCCCGAGACGCACTGCGAACTCGACGCGAGCGAGCGGCGCGCAGCGAAACATGTTGGGAATTGGCGGCCTCGTATTGGTCGAGACGACACCCCACGTGGGAGGTGCCAAGGTGGTATTTGGCGCACGTCAGGACGGCGGAATCGGGCAAGCTGGGTAATCCCCCGATGGAAGTTTTCGCTTCTGCCGCTTCTGCATGATGGGTCTGTTTGTTTTTGGGGGGGTTAAGCGGGTGGGTGTGTGGGTGTACCGAGGTCTGGGTAGCGACGGCGTCGGTTATGCTGTTCTGGGTGTGTGACCGGGAAGGGGGATGATATATTATGTATTCAGCCATACCCCCAAGGTAGATTAATGTCAGTAGTTCTTGGTGTTTTGGTAAGCGTGAGTCCAATAACGACCGAAGGCCATGCCCTCCCTCCTCACCCTCACGGCGACCGTCGCCCTAAGCGGCGCTCTCGTCCACGCCTCCTTCGACAACAACCTCGCCTACCGCAGCCCTTCGAACCGCCACCCGACGCTAGGCGTGTCCCTCTCCCACGTCTCCAAGCGCCATGTCCAAGCCGGCAGCAGCCTGTTCACCCCGGCCGAGGTCAACTTCACCCACGGCGTGGCCTCGGGCGATCCGTATGCTGACTCTGTGATCCTCTGGACGCGTCTCTCGCCTTTCCCCGGGACTGTGGCGTCGGATATTGTGCCAGAGGGGGTGGTGCCGATTTATGACCATGAGGAGGGGGCGCCGCCGTCGGATAAGGCCGCGTGTGTGGAGTACCGCGTTGCGACGGATGAGGGGTTGACGCAGGTTGTTGATCAGGGGAGGGCGTATACCACGAGTGATGTGGACTATACCGTGAAGGTACGCAGCTTTACACCCGGTATGGGGATCTCTCAAACTGATAAGATACACTCCCATAGTTCGAGGCCACCAATCTCCAACCCTTCACAACCTATTACTACCAATTCCACGTCTGCGACTCCTCCAAGACCAGCCCCGTCGGCCGCACCAAGACCATCCCGGCCCGCGACCAGCACGTCGACCGCAACATCAACCTCGCCGTCTACTCCTGCAGCAACTTCCGTGCGTCCCCTTCCCCCCCTTAATCCCAACCAACCTCCAAGAAGGAACCCCCCTACTAACACCCCCCCGCATAATAGCCGAAGGCTACTTCACCGCCTACCGGCAACCCGCCCTCAAAGACTCCGTCGACTACATCCTCCACCTCGGCGACTACATCTACGAGTACAAACCCTCCTCGTCCCTCCCCAACCGCAACCCCTCCCCCACAGACCACGAAACCTACACCCTCTCCGACTACCGCGCCCGTCTCGGCGCCTACCGCACCGACCCCGACCTCCTCCTCTCCCACGCCCGTTTTCCCTGGATCCCCGTCTGGGACGACCACGAAGTCGCCGACAATTCCTGGCGGAACGGTTCGACGGATTCGGATGGCCAAGTCTTCCGGGACAGGAAGAAGGCCGCTGTGAGAGGGTACTTTGAGTGGATGCCGATTCGCCAGGTGGCGATGGATGATTCGTTGAGGGTGTGGCGGGGTTTTGCGCTGGGGACGCTGATGGATGTGGTGATGCTGGATACGAGGCAGTATGATCGGGATGTGACGGTGATCGGGGGGATTGGCGGGGTGGTCGGGGGGAATAGTGGGCAGTTGGAGGAGGAGGTGGGGTGGGCGAATCGGACGCTGATGGGGTTTACGCAGGAGAAGTGGTTTTATGATCAGTTGCGGGAGTCGTCGGCGCGGGGCGCCGCGTGGAGGGTGGTGGGGAATCAAGTGGTGTTTAGTCGGTTGACGTTGGGGGTGTTGGGGAGTGAGCAGCCGTTTAATCGGGATCAGTGGGATGGGTATTTGGCGAATCGGGATCGGGTGTATCAGGCGTTGGAGGAAGGGAGGATTAATAATACGGTGATGTTGTCGGGGGATTCGCATGCCGCGTGGGTGTCGGATTTGGCGTGGTTGGGGAAGAGGGATTATGATGAGACGACGGGGGATGGGGCGTTTGGGGTGGAGTTGGCTGGTACCGCGGTGACGAGCAGTGGGTTTGTGCCGAGTTGGACGCCCAAGTTTGTGGCGAACGCGCTGTCGAAGCGGTTGATTGACAAGAACCCGGAGCTGCAGTGGCAGGAGTTGTATTACAGGGGGTATTTTGAGATGAGTGTTGGGTATGATGCAATCGTGGCTAAGTTTTGGGGTATTTCGAACATCAAGAAGCAGAACGGTGAGGAGGTGCTGTTGGCGGAGTTTTTGATTCGCAACGGGGAGAACCGGTTGGCGCGGAATCCGACTGTGGGAGGTGGAAAGGCGAAGGCGGGTGCGTTGAAGAATGGGAAGATTGAGTAGGAAGAGCCGTATCGACAGGTTTGGAGTACCTAATGTTGGGTTGGAGTAGATGTACCCTGTGAGGCTTAGATATAATTGGAAAATTGAGACCTGGATGGAATTGGAAATTGAAATCTTGACTCCATTGATTTAGAAGGAATCAAACCTCCTGGGCGTGGCTCGTGATATGAATATAAACTTCGCTTGAATACGCGAGATAAAAGTGCAAGCGGGAAAGCCCGTGCCAATATGGCCTTGAAGTATGGCCAAAGTCCTGGAAAAACCATGTAGTATAATCACCCTCCCTTATCCTTTGTCCCATCCAGGGTTCAGCGCCTCAAGCGCCCCCCAAACTCAAATAATGTCTAAACATCCGACCTATGCAGCTCAGGCAAGAGCTGAGCAGCCAGTTGGGCCGCGACAAAACTGGTTTCCGTCAGCATCTGCCCCTGATGGGATAACATTGATTGAAAGACAAACATAGTGAGATGAAGCTCTGGGGACCTACTCGGAATCCTCCTCCTCCTCGCCTTCGCCCTCTTGGTCCTGATCTCTGGCCGTAGCCGACGGACCCAATTGAAAATGCGAGTGTGAGTCGGACGGGCTCGGGTCCGCCGACTCATCGCCGTCGTTGTCCCGGTCGTGCTCATCACCCGCAGGTGTCTCTTTCTGCTCCTCTTGCTGTGGTGACTCGGTGCCCAGAGCAGACACCCCGCCCATGTCGGCATCGGGCTGGGGAAGACCCGTAGCGCGCAGTTTCGGGTCGACGGGCCCGTCTTGTTGGCGTGCCGACGACGATGATTTGGATTCCTCGCCCTGGTCACCGTTGGTCGCAGTAGGAGTAGTAGTCCCATCCGCATCGGCTGACCCATCCTCGCCCGAGGCCGGAGCCGGCAAAAGCTCCTTCGCCTTGCGCTTCCGATTCGGCCGACTGCCCGTATACAGCGAGCAAGACGAAGTATTATCAAACCACTTGCAGTTCGAGCAACTATCATGATAATACCCCGGCAGCACGCGACAAACCATAAACGGGCCCAGCGCCCCCTTCCCACGCTTCTCAACACACTGCGCACACGAAACCGCCGCGTCGTGGCCACGCGAGTGAATCAGCAGGCCATTGACGTAGCTCGGCCGCTGCGAAGCGATATGCTTGGCCGTGATCCAGCCCTGGACGAACAGGATGGTTTCGCGGCTGGCGAGGCGGAAGATGGTGCGCTGCGTGTCGTGCACCAAGGATTGCTCGGTCAGCGCGTCGCGGATGTTGATGCTCACTACGGGCACTGCCGGCTCGGTCTTGGCTGTGTTCCAGATCTTGACGAGTTCATTCTCTTCGTAGTCGGCGTCGCGCACCGTCGCGTTGGGACGGCCCGGGGGACGGCCACGGCGTTTCTTTGGGAACGCTCCTGGGGCCGGGGCCGAGGCGGCATCGGCCGGCGTGGCCGTGTCGGAGCCGGCCGGCGCGGACTGCTGCCGGGTATCTTGATGGACGCTGCCGGCGCTGTCTTCGGTGGTCGTAGTAGTCGTCGTCGTTGTAGGCTGGTTGTCCTGGTCAACGGCAGAATTGCCGACCTCTGACGCGTCGGCCATCGGGACGTCGCCAGCGACCGTCTCAGCCATCTCAAAACCCTTAGTTTCAAACGTCGTGAACAATGTCTTTCAACTTTGATAGCCGTGTGATTGCTACAAGAAAGCAATCACCGGGCGCGGCGATGGGCGTTTATTTTGTAGGCGTGCAAGCGTGATGCGACAGAAGGCTGGATTGGAGGATGCGAGAGCGAAGGTGGATCAGTCCAAATTTGGCTAGCGTGCTTTAAAAACACGCCCCTAGGCACCGGTGCACACCCCTACGTAATCGAGCACTGTGTTCGGCATTAGCCGAGAACTCGCAACGGCGCCGGCCTTCCTTTCGCAACCAACTCCCGCTCACGACATCCGCTGTATCCGTCCGGGCTGTCGTTTGAAAAGAACTCCACGACACAAAGGCCCAAAGAGCTTTGAACTTCTCTGGGTTGCGCAATCCCTGCACAGTCGACCTTGCGAGGCTACCCACCCCCAAACATAACCACCAGCATGTCGACTCCTAACGCCCTCCTCCTCCTCGCCGACCACATCAAGCTGTCGCTGCTTGAGCAAAAGCGCGCAAAGAACCTCCACCTCCGCCGCGACTCCCAAGATGGCCACATCTCCCGCTCGCTCGACCAGTTCCGCGAGGGCCTAGAGTCGATCGAGAAGGAACAATTGCGCCTCGAAGAAGCCGGCGAGGACTCGTACGCTCTCTCTCTCCCTCTCTCCTTTCCCCCCTCTCTCCCACCCCCCGTGTCTCCCTGTAGCCCCCGCTAACAACCCCCCAGAAAAGCCTCCGCCCTCAACGACACCCTCAAGTCCCTCCGCAAACAATACACCGACCTCACCTCCCAATTCACCGGCCACGCCTCCCCCACCTCCTCCTCCACCCTCACCCACCCTAACGACCCCTCTCTCGCCGCCGACTTTGCCCACGCCCAGTCCGGGCCCGACGACCAACCCCCGTCCCCCCCACCCGCCTCCACCAAACCATACCCCACCACCAAAAAAGCCGTCCGCTTCTCCTCCCCCGCCACCGACCTCGAATCCCAATCCCAATCCCAGCCCTACCGCGACGACCCATCCCCCGCTACCGGCGGCCGAGGCGGCAGCGCCTACATCGACGACGACACAGCCGGCTACCGGGACCACATAACCGCCTCCTCCCTCTCCAACACGCAAATCCACGCCTACCACCAATCGATCCTCTCCGAGCAAGACGCGCAACTCGACGCGCTCGGCGCGTCCATCTCCCGGCAGCGGGAGCTCTCGATGCGCATCGGCGACGAACTAGACGAGCACGTCTTGATGCTGGACGAGAGCGAGCGCGCGGCTACGAGGCAGGCGAATACATTGGAACGGGCGAGACGGCAGTTGGGACGGATTACGAGGGGCGCGGCGGAGAGTGGAGAAGGGAGGCAGTTGGTGGCGATTGTGGTTTTGATTGTTGTTTTGGTTTTGTTGATTGCTGTTTTGAAGTAAGGAGGGCACCTTCTCTTTTTACTTTTATCGGTTGGTTGGTTGGTTGGTTGGCCGTTTCTCGGTTATGCGAAAGCAAGCGAGTTAGTCTTGTTTGTGATGGATTCGAGACCAGTGCTATTGGGCTTTTTGGGGAGGGTTGTTTGAATAATTATAGTCATTATGTCTTGTCGACTAGTGCGCGTAGGATATGGGATAGGCGGTGGGGCGTTTGACGGGAGCGGAGGGATTTGAGATTTTGGCGTTTCGGTAGACTACGTATGCTTGTCATTCACTGTTTATTTCTCCTGCTACCTCAGTCAATCGTCTCTTCGCTGACTGTAGTTGTCTCCCGGCGAGTCCCAATTTACCGGCCGGCAACCCGGTAGATCGGTCGATAACAAGAAAGGTCACGTCTCAATCCCGCCAAATACCCGGCATTCTACTCAAGCAAGTAACAAATACGATTGAATTGATGCAGCTATATTGTTGACACTCAGGCTCTCACCCCATCAACTCCTTGCCACTACCACTCGACCGAAACATCGCTGCGCATCAAGATGTCACCTCTGTAATGCGTATCACCCGCCACTCCGTAAGTTGTGCTCCCCGCAACCTGATGTGTGTCGAAGCAAGTCAAGCAAGTAGCCTGCCAGTCTGCTCTTCCAACGACACCATCCAACAAGGAGAAGACCCGACTCAACTACCGGATAACCATGCCTTCCCGGTCGATCCCCTCTAGAAGCTCCAAAATCGGGCTCCCACCTAACACGCCCGCCACACCCTTCGTCCCCTTGCGTTCTGTAGTCCAGACTTCGTGGAACTTGACACTCTTGTCGCTGCAAGCGACAATTATGCAACCTTCCTTAGAACGGAGTCCGCGATTTGGCCTCTTCCCCTCCCTGTCGCCGGTCTCCCCCAGTTGGAGAGGCCCGCCTGTGTATGGGATCGCGTACAACGCGCGGTGCTCACCGACCCAAGGAATGGCCGCGACCTGGCGACACTCAGGCCATGAAAAGACGGCAATGCGGACCGGGTGGTCCGGGTGAGCGTAACCAAACGTTGCGGCAATCTCTCGTCGGGTTGTGGACCAGATGAGGCTCGTCACTTGGGCGGAAACAGAAATAGACGCTAAAGCCGTTCCTGACCCGGTGTGGAAAAAATGAATACACTTGTCGTTGGATCCTCCACCGGTTGCTACTAGGCTATCTTGCCACGGGCAAAATGCAATTGCCTTGACGGCAGCACTATGAGCCCACCGATGCTTGGCATCTCTAGGTCCAAGGTGAACTGCCGGATAATACGGGGCGTCTTGGGACATCTGGATCTCCGTTCGCGCCTCCGAAACCTCACTCAATCCTTGTGCTTGGGACTCTGATGGCCGTTCAGACTGTCGCTGCCCTGCTCCATGACGAACGGAACCTGCGTTGACTGCTTTGGCAGTCTCGAAGAGATAGCACACATTGTCGTTACCCCCGGTACAAAAGACATCCCCCGTTTTTGACCACGTCAGGCCACATATTTGTCGCGAATGAACCGAGATACGTGCCAGCAAGGTGATCTCGCCGGGCCAGTTGTGGCGGTCTACCTCCCATCGCGCCGGCCATTCGACGGCGTAGTAGTAGATGAGCCCGGAGTCGTCTCCGACCAAAAGGTCTTCATTTTTCACCGGAATGCCGCGATTGAAGTGACACCGAGATGGTCGCAGCGTGCATACCGGCTTCCAACTTACGCACGAGATCGGTGCCTGCTGAACAACGTCGAAACGTGGTCGCGGCGCTGACCGATATCCTGTTGACTCCGTTTCATCGTAAAGCGACATCAGACCGAAGGTTCCGTCGGATCGGCCGAATGCTAAGATGGCCCGGCATCCATCGGTAGATGAGAACGATAAGCTTGTTAGGTATGCGTCTGGGTCGCCCCCAGCATACAATAGTTGCACGCCGCGGGCCTCGGACCAGCCATACAGCAAATTCCCTAAGCCCACCGCCAAGGTACAAGTGGTGGGGGAGTACGCCAGGATAGAACAGTAAAAGTCATCACGCAAATTCGGAGCGTCAAGAACTCTATTGACATTAGCATCATGGATGCAACGCAGGCTCTGGCTTTGAAGAACTCACTTGAAGGGAGCAATGGGTAACGTGCGGTTTCCGAGCGGTTTTTGAGGTTTGGGAACAGGTCCGTCGTTGACCCATTCCGTACCCGTCCAGATCGACGGGACATAGCCAGGCCTTACGCAGCGATCGCCACGCCCAGTGGCAATGCCGATATCGAGGACGCGCTGAGCTTGATCGAGGCCAAGTGCTGCAGCAAGACGGGCCCTGTGTTTTTCTGCCTCCTCCTCGCTCCCCGCCCGAGTTGTGGGAAATGTGGTGCGAAATAGGGGTGCGTTTGTGCCACTCCTGACGAGTTGGCCTCGTCCGTTGTTAACTGCTGTCCCCCCTCGACCCGAGGTCCAGCCTGCGCCAGAATTGACCAGTGTGCCGTTCCCATCGATCCTATTCTGGTCTACCAACCCAAGAACACTTGCTCCTACATTTACATCAGCACAACGATCCGGAGAACCAGCCACCATCGCCTTAAACTAACCTTCATTCCGGCTAGCAACAACGTCAGCGCGAGGCCGCACGCGAGACCCTGAGCCAATAGGCGTCACCACCCTCCGGCGATAAACAAATGGGTCTTCACCAGCCCTACTGTGTCGAGTGAGCCTCTCGGTTGGTGTTAGTTCAGCGGGGGGCTTGCTGGTCCTGAACCGTTCAACGGAACTGACACTGTGTGACCTGTCCGGAATGAAACGGTCCAGATGCCGACGGGGTGTCCTGTTTGCGCTACGCCGACGTCCACTCGCATCCGGTAGGGAGTAAAATGACGGCGGCAGTATTGGGCGAGTTCTCGGCGGTGCTCGCTGTGGTAGCGTAACTGACCGTCTCAGGGGATCCCGTTCTTGGCGAGGTGGTGACGAGCCGAGCCGAAGAGACTCCGGATCTAAGAACGACCCCTCGCGATCACTGTCTAGAAACGGGTCCGAGTCTGAATGATTGCCGTCATAATAGTTCCGCAAGTCTGACAAGGGCTGTTCGTTTTCTTTATCCAACGTACCCGGCGACTGAGGCGTTGAGCCGGAGGATCCGTAGCCAGGGTCCAACGGGGTGGTGGGTTCCGACAGGCTGAACACGCGACGTTCACGACGGGTTGGAGGTCGGGGAGGTACTTTCGGAAGCATGATCCATAAACCGCCTGGTTCCTTTCCGAAGCCCAACTCATCAATGCCGTCTAAGTCGAACGAGATCGAAGGGCTTTCATTCGTCCAAGGCCGGGAAGAGAGCCACCGTCGAGACGACACGGGCGAGGCGACGAAGGCACCCGTCTCGACCCCAAGATGGTTGTTCAGCGAATCGTGAGGGTGGGCACCATGACAGACTGGGTGAAAGAATGTGGTCCCCGGTGTTTCCTTCTGTGTGCGTTCAATGGGGTCGGGCAATCCCAGCAGTGAGCTCGGGTCAGAGTTTGGTCACTGTGGTGGTTAGTACAATCGGTGTGTATCGATACTGACAATTGGCGTAGGAGATTTGAAGGATAATTTTAGTGACATAACAACGGCTTCTTCTCGATGGAGACGCACAAAAGTAAAAGGAAAGGCGTTCCTGAGGGCTCTGAGCTGCCATGGCAGGCTCGACCCAGGGACTCCATCAGTCAAGTAAGTCGTGGGAGACATGTTCAATGAGGAAGTGACGATGCTGGCCGAATCCGGCACCTGACTCCTAATTGGTGAACTGTATCCGGAAGGCACTTCCCACGGATTTCCCATTTGACTCTCAATCTAGCCCTCGGTCTTTAGTGGAAACAAATCCGTGGGAGTCATTACCATCTCAGGTTGTTTGTTACATGGAAAGGGGAAACGAGCGAAAGGTCGAAGTCAGCGCAGGGTTAGGGTTGAGCCTCCGTTCGTGAACCCCACGCCCTCCCCTGTCCGTCGTCGCTGTCGTCATCCCCGTCGCCATCCCCTCACCAGCTCTTCTCACAACCCTCAGAGTGTGTCTTGAACGAAAGATCATGGCCGACGTAAGGACACCACCCATTCCCCATGCCACATTTCTTCCCACAACCCAGTCAGAATATTGACTGATAGTCAAGCACGGACACAGCACGGCGGATCGCAACACGGCATAGCCCGCACCTCGCGCGTGCGCACCGAAGAGCAGAGACAGCGCGACCTCGGGCGCATCGCCAAATACCGCGAACTCGAGGACCAGGCGCGCGCACTCGCGTCCCGAGGCGAGCACAGCACGCCGGAGCTGTTCCAAATCACGACCAAACTCCTGCGCCTCAACCCGGAATACTACACAATATGGAACGCCCGCAGGCGCTGCCTAATCTCTGGTTCATTCTCCAACTCATCAGCTGGGTCCTCGCGCTCGAAGGGGTCGTCGACTACTTCTGCTACACCCAATACAGCGCCTTCTTCCGCCAAATGCTCGTCCCCATCCTCGGCCACGACCCCGCCAGGCCCCGGCCCCCAGACAGCTGGGAAGAGTGGTACAACAGCTGACGATGCTGGGGACGAAGCCTCGAATCCTATCGAGAACCATGAAGCTACGCCAACACCGGCCGAGGCAAAAGCTCCCGCTGCCGAAGCTACCCAAACCACCGAAGCCACCGAAGCACAAGACCTCTCGGTCATCAAATCCGAGCTAGCATTCACCATCCCATTGCTCCTCGAATCTCCCAAATGCTACTGGATCTGGAGCTACCGTCTCTGGATCCTCGAACAAGCCATCGCCCGGCTCCCCGCCAGGCAAGCCCGCAAAGTATGGGAAGAAGAACTAGGCCTTGTCTCGATGATGCTCGGTCGCGACCGGCGTAACTTCCACGCGTGGGGGTACCGCCGGCACGTCGTTGATCAACTCGAGAGCACAGCCCTCCACGGGAGCAGCATGGTCGAGACCGAGTTTGCGTACACCGACAGCATGATCAAGACAGACCTGTCGAATTTCTCGGCGTGGCATAGGCGCAGCCGGCTGATCCCGCGACTGCTGGAGGAGAGGGGCGCCGATGCACAGACGAGGAGAGAGTTTTTCAATCAGGGTATGTAATGAGTCTCTTCCCTTTGCACACCTCGCATCTCCACGTTTCGTTAGACCAACCACTAACACCCCCCCAGAACTTGAACTCATCCACAACGCCCTCAACGTCGGCCCCGAAGACCAATCCCTTTGGTACTACCACCAATTCCTCGTCCTCAATCTCGTCTCACCCAACCAACCCAACCCAACCACCCCATCCCAAGCACTCATCGTGCCTGATCTCCCCCTCGCCGACCGTATCGGGTACCTGACCTCAGAGATCAACCTGATCGATGAGCTGCTAGAAGACTACGACGACGTCAAGTCGATATATGAGGCGCTGTTTGAGTATAGGCTGTACCAGACGCAACTAGAGGGGAGACAGCCGGATGAGAGGGAAAAGGAGGAGTTGGCAAGGTGGTTGGGGAAGTTGAAGCAGTTGGATCCGATGCGGAGTGGGCGGTGGGCAGACTTGGAAAAGGAGGTGGGGTTGGGGGTGTATATGTGATGAAAATGAAAGACAACGAAGCCATATGATCAAAGGACCATCCAGCCCTCCGCTGTGCTTGTGTTTTGTCATGTCGTGAAACGGGGTATACTCTATTCTAGCCGCATCACCCCAGTGAACACCGCCTATTTCATCTCCCTCTTCTTATTGAACCCTTTCCCAACCTCCCCGCTCGTCTACTTAACCCCCTCTTCCCCAAAACAACCCCCCTCCACCCCCTCCTCCCCATCCTCCGCCACCCCATCCGACTCACACTCAACAACTCCCCATCCACCTTCCGATACCGAATCTGCCAACGCAACCACTCGTCCAGACCCGGCAGACCGATACCAAGTGTCGGCAGTGCTAGCAGGTACAGTCGCCCGTCTTCCTTCGCGAGGGCCTTGATGTGTCGCTCCCAGGCGAGTCGCTGGGCGTGCTTTGCTGACATGGTGCGGCTGCGGTATTGGGCGAGGAATTGGGTTTCGAGTTTGTTGTCGGTGGAGTTGGGTGGGGTGGGGGTGATCCAGGTGTTGGGTGTGGTCTCGGGCGTCGTATTGGGTGTCGTGTTGGGTGTCGTGTCGGTAATGTTTATGTTGGGAGCAGTAGTAGTTGTTGTTATAGTCGTAGAGTCCTCGGTCATTGTGGAAGGTTGGTTATCGTCCCCGGGTATGGCCCCTTCCACACCGTTGCCATTACTTTCCGATTCCGTTTGTATCGTCTCATCCACCCAGGAATCATCCCACCACCCCTCACCACGTAACAGCCGTGAGACATCAATCGTAGCATAAATAGCCGGCAACGTAAACCGGGTCTTGCCTGGTGCGTGCCGTCCTAACAGAGCCATCAACGTCTTCCCAGGATCCGCTCCCTTATCAGTTCCAGTGGCATTACCAAATCCTTCGCCCACTCCCATTGTCGACCCGTGACCGACCCCTTCTTTCCCTTTTCCTTGCTCAGCATCCTTTCTGTGGCCCTCGGTGAGCGCCTCCCGAAACGGCTTCAAGTGTTCCGGCTCCAGGGGCATGACCTGCACACGACACGGCAACCGATGCAGTAAGCTAATCCAGAAACGGCCATCATACTGGCGGAACTCAGTCCAGACCTTAACCTTCCAGTGGACCGGGTCACGCGCGACACGCCGAGCAAAGGGCAACTCGTTGAAGGTGGTGGTTGGCCGCGGGATGTTTGACGGGTGTGGAGCACGGGCGAGAAACCAGCGTTGTGCAGATGAATGTGTAAAAGGTGGGAAAGAGGTGGATGTCGGGTTAGGAAGGGGTGTAAACAGGACGGAGCAGATAACGTAGGGTTTCGGGGGCGGTGCTGGCGATCCCAGGCAAAGGTTCGGGAAAAGCATGGAGACGAGATGCGAGAGCTGCGCGGGTTGGCTGAGCTCGCGCTCTGGCGTGACCATGGTGATGAGACGGCGGAGAAAGATGGCTGCAATATGGCGGTAGTGGGCAACGCGGCGCTCTCTGGCTGTTGCCGATGTAGATGATCGACGTGGGACCGTGGGGAAGATGAACTGGGGGAGAGTGACGGAGACGGTGCCGGCGTTGGCCGAGAACTCGTGGATGAAAAGGTTCTCAAATAGCCGTTCGGCCTCGTCTTCGGCCGTCAGAACTCGCGTACGGCATCGCGCGGCAAGACGGAGAATGGCCGGTTTCTGCAAGGCCTCGGGTAGTTTGTAGTTCCTGTGCATGTGGCGGACAGCGTTGCGCAAGGTCAATGTTTGGTCCGTATTTGTGTGGTCCTCGAACCAAGGCACGTTGTTCTCAACACATGTCGCGACGAGTCTGTCCTTACTGAACTGGAGAAGCGGCCGGTATACCATAACACCCCCATCCTCGGTGTCCAACGGCACAATGCTGGGAATACGTTTCGCCCGTTTGCCCACGCCGCTAAATTCCTCCAAGTAAGCCGTAGCGACTTCCGTCTTAACGCCCTCTTCGATCTCACGCGCAATGACGGCAGGATCAGCCTGGTGACGGAGTTCTCTCTTCAGAATCCGTCGCTCTGCGTTATTTGGGGCGGCAGCATAAAGACCGCCTCCTTTTCGCTCCTGATCCGCAAATCCACTCTGGTACACCCGATGCAAGTCGTAACATTCCGGTATATCCGTCGCTGGGCGCATCCCCTGCAGCCCTCGATACCCATGACCGGAAAGCAGCCTCATCAGAACCGTTTCGTACTGGTCATCCTCATGGTGTGCCGTAAGCAGCGCGGCAATGTTTCCCTCGCTGCAGAACACGCCCAGCCGACGGTAACGATGGTATCGAGCCAACGTCTCGATATTCGGTAGATCATTGGGGTTTGTGCCCCGCGGGAGCACCTCCTCCCAACGGATTTTGTACACCGCAGACCTGAGGCCGAGCTGCCTCACGGCCGAGGTCACTTTGTCGGCTTCCTCGGTGCTGCCTTCCCGCAAGCAGTGATTGACAGTGATGCCGACGGGGGTGCTCACGGGATGATCGGCCACGAGAGCCCAATGGTCCACGGATCGGATTTTAGAGCAGAGGAAGGCCAGGGCCATGGAGTCCACTCCGCCGCTCACGGCAAGGGCTGTTGTTCATGTTAGTGCTACGGTCCAGGTCACGAACAAAAAAAAGGGGCTGCAAAATAAAATCAATAAATAATTACCAATGGGCCGGTGCGTGCGCGATCGCGCATGGGCAAATCGCGGGGGACATGTCGCCCGCAGAGCTTCAACAAACTCATGGGGAGTAATAGCCCGCGCGCCGCGGTGAAGGACGGGCGCTGTCGTGGTCATTCCATGCAAGGCGGGCCGGTGTTCTCATCCGATGCGAGACCTCCAAAATGCAAATTCTAATGTTTGAGTTTCATCGTTTGCGTTGTTGATGGAGGGGTCGAATTGGCGCTCCAGCGCTGCAGGAACAGTGGAAACGGCCCGGAACGAGCCACTAAAATATGGCCCGAGCGCCAAGCCAGAGCCCCTGGCCATGACCTCACAGCGGGGTCCAGGGGTTGCCTGCCGCAGCGGGGCTCTCTCTGCGGGACCGGAGCTCAGCTCACCAGCACATCAGACCGGCCAAAAAAATTGAACACCAAACATCCAATCTCTAAAGAAGCACGCGAGGCACATCCACTCGCCCACCACGACGCAGCAATGATCCGGTGACCCATCACTCCGTGTATACCGACCACACAAACCTCCCCCCGGGCCATTGACCCTCCCTGTCCACCCGAACCTCCAAATCACAGCCCCGAACCGAGACCCGACGGAACCCGAGAATTAGTCACGCACCATCTTCACGATAACCCCCCCAAGACTCATAACCGACCCCCCC